TTTAGAGTTCAGCTTCCTCCTTTCATCCCACCCACCATCAGACACTTCCTGACATTTCTCCTGCAGGCAGAGTAAGGCAACTGCTTTTTTTTTTTTCCTTTTGCAACGGCTGTTCCTCCAGTAGTCTGTGGGTGGTGGGGGAAGGGGATGTTATCTCCACAGCAAACACAGCCAAGCAAAGCAAGTCTGGGACGTGAGGGGGAGTTTCAGGATGAAAATAGGCCTCTGCCACCCCTCCTGCGTTTGTGTATCTGTGACTAAGCAAGCTGAACGTGTTGCTTTTTAAAGCTTGGCTTCTCTCTTTCCTTGATCTTGGTCGGTTCCAAGCGTCCTGGTGGCCTTTGTCCTCATGCCTTGGGGACCCGTGCAAGCCCCTGACATCACCATGTGCCCTGGTGCTGCAGGACAAACCTAGAGCCCTGTCCCCCCTCCTCTGCTCAGGCACTGAGAGGAGCCTCTGCTAACCATTTCATTCCTTCTGAAACATCCTCTGGTTTTGCTTAGGTCATTACAGCCCTGCCTTGGAAGCTGCTGGTGTCTGGAGCGGAGCTTTTGGCAGTTGTGCTCATCTCTTGGACAGAGAAGATTGCTGGCAGCTCATCTCTGGAGCTGTCACTGCTGTTCTGCCAGCGGGTACCTCCAGGTTAGGGGAGCAATGGGCAGATTGCAGCACACAGCTGCCAGGTCCTGGTTCTCGTGCTCACAGCAACCTCTTACTCTTGCTCCCCAGTAAGTATGGTCTCTTCTGAGATACAGTCTTCTCTGGTTGAAAATTAGGAATTTAGGAAAGTTGTTGCTCCCATTAGCGCTGTCTAGCGCATCTCTTTGCACATGAAGTTGAGTTGGCCTCTCATCACATCCAGTTTCAGTCCCCCCACAACATCATGGACAAAGAAGGACCTAAGGTACCACGGTACAACTCCAAGGCATCTTTCCCTTCAAGTCTCATGTTTCCTCAGCTCTCCAAGTTCTAGACACTGCTGTCCCAGTCCCAAATCCTCAGTGCTGTGCTCAAGCAAACGGCTGCTACTTCGGAAGTCAGGATGACACAACTCTGCCAATATCAGACTCCCATACTCTTACTGCACGTTCTACGTTGCTCTTTTGAGTCTATCCATTGGCCTAAATGTGGGTACGATAGATGCAGCAGTCCCTTACAAAGCCTGTCCTATTAGGATGCTCACTGAGCTCACTGAAAAGGAATTCAGATTATTCAGTTAATTTGTGCTCAGCCAAACCATGCGGCAGTACTCCCAGCACCTACAATTCCCTGAATAGAACCTGTGCTCGAATGGAGGAAGGAGTGTCTGGATCTCAATATGTAGGGCTGGCTGGTTTTCTGGGAGATCTCTATTCAGCTGTACGTGCCTGAGGGTATGTGCAAAGATCACTCATCCAGTTCATTGAACTGCAGCCTGCATGTGAAAGGAGCTTCATGGTTTCTTTTTTAAATGTCACTGTTTTAAAGACAAATAGTCTCATGCAGAATTGTACAGCAGATTATAATATGGGCACTGCAGGGGTAAATTAAAGAGCAATTCAAACATAATACTCTGTGGAAAAATCTTATCTTTTCCTTGCTTTATCAAGGCATTTATCTAGGTCTGCTCTACACCAGTCATCACCACATTATCTACATATTTTACAGAGTCTTTTTTAGCCACTTAATACATACACAGTTCATTTAGAGTCAAAATAATGTCAGGTCTGAACAAGCTGGAAAACATGCTTGACTACTTCAAATGCCCTATTCACAGAAAGGGCAGAGATGCATCTAAGCAGCATACATACCAGCGATCATATAGCTTTCAATGGTCCGTGATTATTGCCACCCTCTCATGTGTCCACAGTATCAGCTTAAGCAAACCTTCCATCAAGCATAGATTTCAATAGCAACTGGTTTTATTATGCTCTGTTTTAATGACAGGATCTATTTTTAACAACAGTTTTTGTTTAGTGGTCTGAAAGCATTTTCAGTAGGGAAAGCTCAAATGTTTCCATCAGCTCCATAATTGACTTATGAGAGACATTCAATGAAATAAAGATGTCTCCTTCTGTTATCGTGCTCTGAGCAAGTTATACAAAATTTTCATTTTATAAAATACAATAGAAATGTGCAGTGTAGCCCAAAGAGGTAATCACAACAGCTTTGTGAAGTCTGATGTTACTGGTATTTGAGGTTAGTCTGAATGCCTGAGCTTTTGGAACTGTGATTACATGAAAATAAAAGTTTAATTAAGCCAACCAACCAACCCACTCCCCCAAGACGTGCACTTTCTAAGCTTAAGTCTGCAAATGAAAAGGAAGTGCACCATGACTCAGAAACCAGAGGTCAACAAGAACAAATAAACACATTTGTTACTGTTAAATTTTTAATTCATAAACTAATATCATTTTCTAAGTTTTTTTTTCTGACTTTTGAATACTTGGATTTCTCAACACTGTTGCTATGATTTAAATCATTTACAAATCTTCACATTGTAAAAGAGTTCTTGCCTTTTTCTTTGTGTTTTCTGTTGTTCTAGAAAATACTTTTCACAAATACATGCATTTTCAGCACACATACAACACATCTGTGCATGTTCAGAGGCCACTTACACACCACATCCACGTGTCCTGCTGTCAGCTCAGGGCTTCAGTGGACCTGGTCTGCTGGAAACTCGATATGTGGCAGCCCTGTATTCAGATTTTCTAGCTATTCACAAATCAAAACCAACATAAATATTAATTCATATTAAAATATTTTATTGCAACTGCATTTTGTGCCCATTAAATGGAATAAAATACTTTTCACCTGCAGGTATCTAAGGATGAAAGTAATTTTGGAACCGTTACTTAATTTCACTGTAAGCTTACAGTCTACCTATAATATCCTTTGTCATAAAGAATCCCAAATTCTTTAAGAAATTTAACAAAAATACACATTAGCTGGAATTACTTCATATTTGAGGATGTGAAAAGCACTATTATTATTGTATTACTAATTATTATTGTTAAACATTATTAAAATATTACATTCATTAACTATGATGCTGTTGTTGGAATGCAGCCGCTTCTAAGGAGACATCTGACAGCATTTCTGAGAGGAATCCCAATATTATGCATCAAGCATTTCAGGCCAGATGAAGATCAGCATTTGCTAAAGATTCATTTCAATTAATGCTGAAATGCAGCTGCTGCTCAATACCACCCCGTAACTGTGCAAAGCTGAGAAACCTAGGCAGTGGAGATTGCTCTGTAGGACCAAGTTTTAATATGCTTTTAGATTATTTAAATTGTAAGGAGAAAGGAACACACTGTTCTTACCAGCCACTTGTAGGTATGAGTAAGGTTTGACATTGATCACCATAAAAAAGGCAATAGTTTGTATCTTACTCATAGCATCTTATTTTTTTTGAGCATCTTAAGTATTGGAAAGCATGAAAATTGCAGGAACATTACAGATCTTAAAATATTTAGGCTTTAACCTTGAAGAGTTATACCAATTTTAGCAAGTGAAATGTGACCTCTTGGGTATTTCAAGGTAAACAGGTACGCAAATCTTCATGGGATGAAATCTTTAGAGTTTGTAGAAACAGCCCTTACATCAATGTTCGATTGATACCAGATGAGGAAAAATGTGGTCAGACATAAAACATTTATTCTGACATGAAAAGCATGGCTGTTTTACAGTTGTACCAACAAATATGGGATTAACTAAAAAAAGTCATAATGGTTCATTCACGAGTAATAGAGCATTGGCACAACAAACAAACAAACAAAAAACAACAGGTTTTTAGGCTGTTCCAATAAGGTGAAAAAACTGGATGTCCTGGAAATGCTCCATGAGGTCTTCAAAACCACTCCACAGTGGATTCAACACAGGAAGGAAGCGCTTCCAAGCTCCACAGTGGTACAAAATTAAAAGCTAATAGACTTAGGTTCAAAGGTATGTCACACCCCCTCACTGCTATGGCTTTGGGATATGATAACATGGTTAAAATATGTTTTGTAGTGTGCTGAGTCAAAACAACAGATACATACCCAACAGGAAGGCCATGAGTCCAACATGTCAACTTCTGGAGCACGCCTGAATGAAGTCATGACAACCATGACTTGTTTTACACCCCTGGCTCCATCCCCATGGCAACCCCATGGTGCTGGGGGCACAGTCAGGGCTATGAGGGGAGCCAAGAGACAAAGCTGAGGATGAGGCATGGCACCAGGTGAGGTCTGGCATGAATCACAGAGTCACAAAACGGCCAGGGTTGGAAGGGACCACAAGGATGATGAAGCTCCAACCCCCCGCCACATGCAGGACCACCAACCTCCACATTTAATGCTAGACCAGGCTGCCCAGGGTCCCATCCAACCTGGCCTTGAACACCTCCAGGGATGGACGGGGCATCCACAGCCTCTCTGGGCAGCTGTTCCAGCACTCTCAGAGCAAACAACTTCCCCCTGTCATCCAACCTCAATCTTCCCTCCCTGACATGGTGGGAGACAAAGCATGAGGCAAAGCTTGAGGTGAGGTGTGAGGTGTGAGGTGAGATGTGTGAGGTGAGATGTGTGAGGTGTGAGGTGAGATGTGTGAGGTGAGATGTGTGAGGTGTGAGGTCAGCCCGCAGCATCCGTCACCATGATGCAGATGGCCTGGCAGCACGCTACGCCATCATGGGCTTCGTGGCCGCCATGGGGACAGTCAAAGCCAGTTCATCACTTGACGCAACCCAAGTCAAACTTCGCAACTCCATCCCTACACCTCCCTGGATGCGGCCAAACAGGACCCCAGCCCTCAGCCCCGCACTGCCCTCCATCCCCAGCCTCCCTGGGGGAGCCACAGAGCCAGGCCCTGAGGAGGCCGCAACGCGCCTGCGCGGAGGGGAGCCGGGAGGCGGAGCCGGGCGGTGCTGCGCAGGCGCGCGGCGCATGCGCGGTACGACCCCGCGCTGGGCTTGTCGTTGCAGCTTTAAGAGGACTCGCGGCCTGGCGGGCACGACCCCCCCCCGCCGCCCCGAGGAGCCGCCGGGCCCCCCGCCACCCCTCCTGCCGCGGGACGGCGCGGGGCCGGCCCCGGCGCCCCCGGATCCTCCCTCGATCTCCCCTCGAGAAGAGAGAGGGAGGCTGGAAGGGAGTGACCCCCGGCCCCGCGCCCCGGGCTGGGACGGCTGAGAGGAGGAGGAGGAGGAGGAGGAAGGGGGGGGGGGCGCAACATGGCGGAGGCCAAGGAGGAGGGGCCCGGGCACTGCGCCAGGGTGAGTGGGGGGCGTGAGGGGAGGTCAGAGGGGAGGGGTCAGGGGGCGGGGCGGCGGGATGCGACCACCGGGATCCGGCCGGCTGCATCGCGGGTGGGTCCGGCGGGCCGGGGGCTGCCCTCGGCTCTGGGTGCTGCGTTCTGTCCTTGCTGAGAGCATCTCGGCGGCGTTTTGGTCGCTGAAATCGTAAAGTTAGAACTGACGAGGGGCTGTTGGTGCCGCCCGCCTGTCTGACCTCTTCTTGTTCCGAACGCAATGTTTTTGTTGCTCTCCTTCGGTTTATTTCAGTAAGTGTAAGTGAGGCGTCAAGATGGCAGCTCCGTGCAGGTGGTTCCCAAAGCCGTCAGCACTGCTGGCCCCAAGGCCTGGCCCTCCGTTCTCACAGTCTGTAAGTACACGTGGATCTGCTTGAAGAACAGCGGAAGGTTCTTGCCCATGTCTTGCAGCCTGTGCAGAAACTGAGGACGGATAACTTTGAAGCAGTGCTCAAGGTAGTCTCGCAACACCTCTTTGTGGTTTGCATGTCATTTCTCATTGAAAGCTTTATGATAGAAATGAGGCTGTTGCTGCTGATTTGCATTTGAATCAGTATGGAGCAGTCTGTAGGCCGCTGAATGTCTCTGCGCTGTCCAGTTCCTCATTTCCAAAGATGAAGAACTTTTCCCATTCTCTAACCTTGGAAAAGGGAAGAACATGAACTAGTTTTCCATTCCTATACGTAAGAGGAGCTTTGTTTTCTGAATTCAGTGTGGAGAACGCAAAACTTGCATTGAAACTAATTGTTGCCAAACCAAGCAGTTGACCGTCCAGGGTGTAACTGGAGCAGTTGCACAGATGTTTGGCTACTGTGCAGCTATGGGAATGAACTTTATCACTGATGTGTCTCAAAGCCATGGCTTTCACCATGTTCTTGCTCGCAAGCAGAGTCAAAGAATTTTGTGGGATTGCTCACAGTTCTGACACATCTGGAGGATCAAGATTTTGTCTGCAAGACGTTCAAAGAGAAGTGGATGGATGTAGGGCAGTAACTTAAGAACTCTTAGATAAAACTTCATTCCCAATAACTGAAAAGTTAACAGATATGAAGAAGAACTTTCAGACCACGATGGCACTCAAACCTTGGAACTGGTTGCTCAGAGGTTGTGGTCTCTGTCTTAGCATCTACTGGGCTTGCCATTGCCATTACTTTGGTATGCTCCATTTAATCTGGCAAGTTACCTGGTGTTGCCCAATGGGGGGAAAAAAAAAAAGCTCTTCCTTTTTTCTTCTGAAGAGTGTCAACTGCCAGCTAAGATAAAACAAAAAATTATCATAAATTTAGTATTATTTTCATTGGTCTCAGGAAAAACTGTTCTTGTGTTGGTTGGGTAACCGCCTACTTGGTAGTAAGTCTGGAAGTTTCCATCAATTATTGCTCCACGTGTCCCTCTGCTTTATGAAAAACTTCTATGTGGTGTTTTCTGGCAGAATTGTAAAAGTTCTTATGGCTAAATACTTACTCTACCCAAAATCAAAACTGATGTATTTTCTAATGAAAATATATCAACACATCCAACTCTTCATACTTAGTAAATAATATCAGGATTAACGTAACAGGCACTTGTATTTTTTTATGTATTTAGTTAAAATATTTGTGCACTTCAACTTGAATTTGTAGGTAATGTTGCTGTGTTTTACATTATGAAAAGAATGATAATTTATTTACAGTACTCAATCAATTGAGCTGGACAGGATGGTTTGTGGCATACAGCACAGTGCTGAAATTTGACACTTGGGCTCTTGGAAATGAGTTTGGTGTGAAGAGGTGAACATCTGGGTGTCTACATCAGTAAACAGCTGTTTGCACAAGATTTTAAATTTTTCATGGGTTTATTTAAAAATTGAAGATCATCTCCTTTGGAAAGTTTTCTTTCTAGGTACTCTTAAGTGGTATAGAGGTGATGAAAATAGATTTCTTTGCAAAGGCTTGAGCACCTCTCAAAGGATGCTTGGCTGTCATAATCCTTGAATTAACCTTGTTAATAATCAAGCTTAGTCTTTTAGAGTAAGACTTTTTACATAGCATATAATAAGCAAAAAGAAAGTAAGCTGTTTACCCTTGCTTCAGAGCTGCTTGCGTAGTTGGGATACTGGAAGTTAATTCCAAAATTTCTCCCAACATTCTTGAAGCAGTAACCTCAACTATCCTCTTGTTTACTGACCATTGTATCCCACCATTCCTTCCAGGTATTCCCATTCATGTTGGCTTTTCCATAAATAAGTCTTGTAGCAAGTTTTATGTAGTGAATTTTCTTCAAGGTTTTCTGTCAGTGACTGCCTCTGTTCATTTCCATCATCTGTTTTACAATGGTGTGCTACTGCATAAAGGCAGTGCTCCTCTACCTGACTTGTGATCATCTAAACTTCTCAAGATAAGGCTTCTCCAGCAGGGTGTGCCTCATCAAGGACGTGTTAGCAGAACTGTTTGTGCTCTTGGCATCTATCAGCTTTGCCTTTCACTCTCTAGTAGAAAACTGTTTCTGATCCAACACTGGCATGCTGTATTCTGTCCTTTCTATAGAGAACCACAATGGTAATGTTTATCTACCTCAGATGTGTGTATTGAATTGTGAGAGTTGTTCGAAGTTCTGAAAGGGTAGACATACAAATTGTCATTAACTTAGTAATGCTTCCATTGAAAGATGTGTTTAGAATCTCAATTAATCTAGCAGTTGCTTTCAGTCTGGTTCTTGGGTCTTGGGCTTGTGCTGGTCAGAAAGCTCCAGCACTGCCCAGAAGGTTGTACCAGAGAGCAGGAGCAAGATGCAAGCGTTCTGGATGCTCTGAACTAACAGTGCTAAGGTATAGCAGTCTACTGTGAGGACTGTGTCTTTATAGGCTCTGTTGTAGTGTACGTGATAAATGAGGACAGGTGGATGTGGTGGGGTTCTGGAGGAACATCTTCATTTCCATTGAAAAGAGAGAAAAGCCAAATCACTCACCTAATAAACTACTGTTCATTTGACTGCATTTAGGTGAGAAGAACTTGATGCAGAATTAGTTCATCTGGGCATAGCTGTTCCTGTAGGAGTAATTTTGGAGTTCTTCCTTATGACTTTTTTTTGGCTAACTTCTCCCCGCTGTTTTTTTTTTTTTATGTCTTGATATACCTTAAATCCATTTCAAAAGTCAGTGCAATTATTTTGGTTTTATTCTAAATGGTGTTATGTGCTCAAGAGGACTTTTACAAAATAAAATTTAGTTTAGGAAAAGAGAATAGTAGAAGTCAACCAGGGCAACAGTGGCAAATGTGATGGGGAAAAAGAAACAGTGATTTTTTTTTTTTTTTGTAAGAGCAGGAGAGGAGAGCATCATAGAGCAGAGGAACATGAAGAGAAGCAGAAATGATGCCTGAGTTAGGAAGAAACTTTGAGGAGTAAAGCAGATTGCATGATTGCTTATCTCTCATTAAGGACTGAGATAATGAAGTAGAGAATATTGCACGCACGTGCAAGCTCTCCAGCTTTCACCCCCAGTTGTTGTTGGCACTGAACGATTAGGAGAAGGGAAAGACTGATGGTAGTTGAGATGATTCACCAGTGTGGGCTTATTAACATATCAACCATCCTGTGAAGGAGGGCTGATAATCCCTGCTGTGTTTATCAACAAGCAGAAGGTGCTACATGTGAACATTCTCCTCATTTGCATGCAATGCCATCTTGTTGGCTTCTGATTTGAGCGTAGATCATAATGAAAAGCAGATGACTTCAGTTTCTCTTTCTTTACAGACACCTAACGTGGTTAGTTATCCACTGAGGGAGATGCTGAGCAGAGGGATTGCTCCTGGGTTGTTGTATGGATCCTCACAGCCTGGGTTGTCGTCATGTTTCTCAATGGTAGCCTAAGGATTGACCTTCCCTTAAAGTTGTGGTGATAGCACTCAGTTAATGAGATCCCTTCTAGGTTAAATGGAGTTGCAGGAATTGCATGCTGTGCAGAATGTCATCGTCCAAGTGAGCTGTGCTTTTGAAAGATGTGGCCAAAATATTGAAGTATGCGCTCGTAATCTGGGCAGTGCTGTCTTCGTTGTGGGATGCTGGAGTGCAATGTTTGGTTTGGGAGAATTGCTTGCTGTGCATAACAGCAGAAACGGGTGATGTCATTGTGTGGACAGGACTGGAGGTTTTAGAGCTTTTTGCATCTGTGTAACCTCATGAGCTTCAGTTTTCTTTCCCTGCCATATGCTGTGAGAAATGGGAGTTCTCCCAATTTCCGATGGAAATGTAGCTTAGCCAAAATCTCATTGGTTGTAGTGACTTAACCAGAGTGGGAAAGTTCAGTGAGGGTTCAGTGGAAGAGTTTCTTTGTTGTTAAAAGACAAGCCTTTGTTGTGGATGTCTCGGTTTGCTTTCTGTGTGGTGTGTGTGCATTTCTTCATTTGCAGAACCCGTGCATGGTGTGGCTCTGGGACAGTGCACCGTTCCCAGTGCGTGTGCAGGAGGAGCTGCACAGTGAGCATCTCCCAATGCTCTGCACAGATTCACAACTGTGATCCTTCAGGGAGAACACACCGTAAGGTCCTCATGTTTGACACCAGCTTGCAGCACATTGGTGCTCAGGGTTGTGGGAGCCATCGGTCAGCAGAGGCTTTGTTTGGAGCCAGCCCATGAATATTCAGAAATCTCAGGCATCTCAGAGAAATCTGGGGGCAGAAGGGGACGATCCGAGCCTGCGTGTCCCAGTGGATCATTCTGTTCTAAAAAGGGAGAAATGAAATGCCAGCAGCAGGTGCCTAGCTCAGATTGTAGGAAACTTCCACTTAGGAAGGATACAAAGACAAACTGTACTTCTTGAATGGGATCCGCGAGAAACAGCACTGCCTGCCTTTGTCCTTTCACACGTATAGGTGTTTGGATTTTTGTTGATGCATCCTAGCATCCATCTCATTACTTTTAGACTAAAACCATAGAAGTTATTAAAAACAACCTTTCATAGTGCTGAGAAACCTCTTGCCCTCCCCCCTGGGGGCTCCATCTCCCCAGGGTGCATTTGGAGCCCAGGCAGTGCTGCCCAGGCTGTGCGCTCCCCCCTTGGGCTGCTGCCTCTGGGGTGAGTAGGGGGCCCTGCAGCTCCCAGCTCTATGTGTGGCTCTCTGACCCCACTGTTTTCTCTTCCTGCCACCACCAGTCTGTTCCTGTTGCAGGTACCTACAGCAGGCCAGCTCTTTGTTACCCTCTGCTCTTCCTTCCCCAGGTGCTTGAAGGTACGGATGGCTGGGGCTGGCTGAGGTTGTGCTCCAACAGCTCTGCTGCTGATTTAAAGCTCCTGCTGTGAGGTTTGCACGGTTGGCAGCTCGGCATCCCTGCTGCTGTTACGTAGGAAAGGTCAGGGGATGCTTCCTGGGCTGCCCACACCTGGTTCCTGAATGGCGGCGAGGATTGGAGTTGCTTGGAAAAAAGAACTCCATCTTCCTTAGCAGAGTGCTGAAGCGAGGGGGTGTGCTGTGGTGTGTAGGTGCAGGGAAGCTCTGCAGACAAATTGAGGGATCTCTGCCTATTTTTAGTTGCAGTTTTCTTAACATCTGCTTCCTTACCACAGTTCACTGCTTGGCGATGCAGTACAACCTAGGATCAGACTTCAGAAGGCTTGCTGTTTGTGTTAAGTTGCTCTGGGGCTTGGGGTTAAAGACATAATTTTGCATACAAAGCCAGGGTGTAGCCACAGGCTGCTTCTCTCTTCTTATCACACACTAAAAATGCACTGATTCTTTGATCTGTGGATACTCTGCCAACCTGGGATGCTGGTAAAGTATGGCACAGGTTCTTAGTTATTTCAAATGAGCACATTGTATGGAATAGTAAGCAGTGTCCTGCCACCTGCTCAAAGCAATGGAGGGGCCAATCCTGCCACCAGTGTACCATTACAGAGATGCAGTGACATAACTAGTGGGTTGTTTGGTGGTGTTTTTTTTTATTATTATTTTTTAATACATTTATAAAAGCTTTATCTGGCTGTAAAGAATAGTTAAAACACATTGCTTCCAGGAATGCCTAATTGTTTTGAAATAATTGTCATTATTTCTTGTATTATTTATTGCCCCCTCACCAGGCAGAGCACTGCTTTCTGCACAGTGCTGGCTAATGAGGCAGAGTCACTAAGGAGGATATATTTTAAAACATTTAATTTTACTTCCATCATGCTCCAACAATTCTGTATCAGCTCTTAGGGAATGCTCACTACCTTAAAAGCACTAAGTGTCATTAAGTTCCTCCCTGGCAGAGTACTCACTGAAGTGATTAAATAAAGTTGTTTCAAGGTGTGATTGTGCTGAGTTTTGCTTTGAAACTGGAAGTGAGTTTTGAGGGCTCTGCTGGGAGTTTGGAGCCAGTGGTTTTGTATTTCCATTATGGATCCTTTCTGTCCTGCACTTATCTGGAACTCACACTGGGATTTCGAGGTGCGTCTTTGTGGGACTGTCCAAAATGACCACAGGAAACACCTTCTGATAATCAGCTCCATGTTTCCTTTTGCAGTTCTTCTGCCCCCTTTTATCACCAAATCTTAAAAACTGTTAGCAGAAGAAATAAAAAGCATTACAGTGAATGGCAGCTGGGAGAACAGCCTGTGCTAATTCAGGAAAAAAGTGTATGAGCCCATTTTGGAGCATCGTTTTGTTAGGGAATGTGTATGTCTGTGTGTGTGTTTATGTATCTTTATGCATATGTAGATACATAAGTGCCCATACACACAAGCATACCACCACTTGCTCTGGTCTTTGGATGTACACCATGTGAGAGATCTGATGCTGTCCACCATCCAAGGCTGTGTGCTGCCTCAGCTCAGGCTGCTGCCATTACCAGGAGTGGGAATTCTGTTTTACAAATACATCTCTGGTAAACTTTTGACCATAAACACAAATCATCCTCTGCGTCACAAACCGTTTTAAAGAAAGGTGATTTCTTTTCATAGGTTGAAAAGTGTCTTGGATTGCTTTCAAATAATTTGTAACTGTTTTTGAACTTGATGTTCATGGTAGTTCCTGATGTGCACTTGCAGATGTCCCCGTTGTGCTGAGCTGTGCCTTGTCATTTCTTTGAATGGAAAAGTGAATTAGACATGTCCAGAACCTGGGATATTTTCCCACGTGTACAGAGGATCTCAAAAGAGTTAAGAAGTTGCGCTGATAGGAATTTGCTTCAAGGAAAGGATGGTCAGTGCTTCATTTCAGCGAGATGACTAGAGTTTGGTGAAGTTGGAGGTAATCCCTTTGCTATCAAATCCCATTGGTGGACGGCCTATCAGAAAGGACAGCATAGAAATGGAGATGCTGAGGAAGGAGAGATGAGTTAAACAAATCTGTTATCTTTTAGGCAGAGGTGAGGAGTGCTGCCCAGAGTTGGTCATTGGAAAGCAAACTTTGTTTATCCATAGTGCACATGCTGCACTTCAGACACACTGCTAACTTCAATGTGTCAGAAAATGCTCAATGAAAACAGGTTTTGTGCAGCGCTCAGAGTCATCCGCTGGTTCTTTGTCCATTGTGCTCCTTCTGGCTCTCATTATCTCGTTATTAGGAATGTTGACATTCCCTTCTCCACCTTCTCAAGCTAGCAGCGCGGATTCTGAATTTGTTGTGCAATTCTTTTCTATGTGCTTCTGAACTTGTGGTAATTGTGACTTCTCAGCAATGTAAGAGTTTTATGTAGAACTCTGCTTGGGGTCAGAAAGGAAGGAGGAGGAGCTGTGATTCCTCATGTTGGTTTGGCTTTTGATTGGAAAGTTGCGTTTTAGAAAAATACTTCCAGGTTGACCAAGATAATGATGTAGTGCTTTCCTTTTTACAGTTTGAAGATAAATCTGATGCAGTATTTGATATTACAGAAAAATGTAAGTATTTTTATTTATTTATGTAAGACATAGCTCAACAAAACAATTCTTAGAAGTACCACTGCTGACAAAAAAGCTATCTTGCCCTTCTCCTAACCCCTGCTGCCTGTTCCCTCCCCACACTACTTTCTGCACAAATAATATGAATGATAGGAATTAAAGTTAATGTCTTTTCTTTGGTTGTTTTTTTTTCTCAGATCAGCTTCTGTTTCACTGTGTGGTGAGTGGGACAGAACTGTTTCTTTATCAGCAGTGTTTGATCAGTAACGTTGGTCCAAGAAGGCTTAAAGAATTCAAGCAACGGACTCTTTTACTCGCTTTTGTTACACACAAAGCTGGGAGATGTTCTGACTGTTCGTAATTTTCTTTTCCCTAGGTAGTGAAATCCTGGATGCAGAAATGTCTGAGGACACTGTCCACAACTTGCCAGCTACCCTCGACAGCGTATCTTATGAAATACAGAATCAAGCAGGATCTGAAAACTCACTGCTGGATGATGACGACGACGATGACGATTATTTTCTGAACTCTGGGGATTTGGCAAGCATACCTGTTGTTGGGAGTGACAACGAAGATGATCAAAATTTCACTCCAAAAGACACTCTCCCTTCTGAAGACCATCTGGAAGAGGGCAAGAGGATTACAGAACATGAGCTGGACAGTGAAAAAGATATTCAGATCGAAAATGCAATCCAGAAGGATCTCACTTCACCTTTTGAGCAGGGTCCTGTATTTAAATCAATTCAAAAAGATTTTAGCATAACAAGAGATAATGGCAAAGAGACTTTTTCAACAAAAGACAAGAATAGAGAAGTAAATCTTCAAGAACATGAAAAACGGTTGGAAAAAATCCCTAAAGATACGGATTCTAGATTGAAAAGCAGTTTTCTTGACAAAGCAGGTAACTGTTGACATCGTAGACCTGGCTATCCAGCAAGGAGGAAGGAAGAGCTAGATGGAAATTAGCAATAGGAGTAGTTAAAAACGTCATCTCGGCGAAAATAACATGCATTGCTATATGGAGGGAAACATTTTATCCAGAACGCTGAAATACAACAAACTGTGTTAGGAGTAAGATGTGCAAAAGGGCCTGGCAGCATTAGGGGATGTCTCATCAACCACAGCCTGTTTTGAAACCTCTTCATATCCTTTGTTGGTGTGGTTTAGTAAACCAAACTGGGTGACACCTTAAGCTTCCTTTTGGTTTTGTCATCTAGCCCCCAAAGCTCTTTTAAGGAATAGATGATGACATTTTGGCTTTCGCTAGGAAAGATTTTTTTGAGCAAAGTGCCAATTCTTCATTATTGCCCATCTTAAAGCAGCATGTTTTTCATAGTAACATCACAGGAAGGCTTGCTAGAAATATTAGTGCCTGCAGGAAGTCAGCCAGGGAGTAACTTGAGATCTGCTTTTCCTGGGAGACTACTCTCCTTTTTCTTCTGATACTCGCATCTTGGACTTTGTCCAGCAACATGGAGAGAACCAAAGATGCCTGTAATGCATTTCTCATGTGAGGGAGCCTGAAAGTCACCAGCAGTCTTGCTGCCCACACACCTGGTTTTGATTTCCCACGCACTGAAAATTACAGTAAAACAGTGAATGAGAGTGTTAAGAATAACCAGGGTGGAATGTGCAACTTAATTTCATTCTGAAGATTGTACAGAGTGAGGGCTGGCCAACAAGTGAGAGCCTCTGACTGCTTGTTGAGGCTCACAGATTACATTTCTGATGTTTAAACTTTACATACAGTAACAGCATCTTAAAATAAGTGCTTTCAGGTTCTACAAATGATAGAGAAACAACACTATTTTTTTTATTTTTTTTTTAATATCTTTCAGTATCTTTTTACTCTTGCCTTCAGCTAGAAATCTAGTAAATAATATTTCTTTGCAAAAGACTTATTTCAGAAAATGGTAAATATCTATGGTAACAAAGTTGTAGCTGAAAGCTATGCAGCCTTAGGTAGGGTAGCCAGTAATTGACCAGCTTTAGTGGATGCTCATGGGCAGCATCAAATAACCAGGCAAATCCAGTATTTTTAAAAAGATATCTTGCTAAAAACCTGCTGTTTCCTGAGAAAAGGGGAAGAGGCAAAAGACAAACAATAAGAAAGGTGAAAGTTGTTTCTCTGAAAATTGCTTTCTGATTTAAAAGTAGAAACATGGCAGAATTAGGAAGTCAATGGGGTATAGAAAGTTCAGAATGAACAATTCTGCCTCAGAGTTATCTGACTGTTTTGCTGGTATAAGAAAATAGTGGCTCAGAAGACTAATAAAAATATCAATTCTCTTTAAGGATTACCATCTTATTTACAGGGAAGAGCAAGGGAGTATTTTAGTGCTTCTGAAGTGCTGCCAGACTGTGGGGTTGGGGATCAGGATGAGACTAGATAGCTTTTAAGGAAATGCGTTGGAATCTGTATTCATTTCTATTTAATGTATATGTTTTCCTCAGTTCATAATCAAGTAGAAGAAACATTACGGACGCAGTTAGCGCCACAAACTCCAGAAACTAACTTCAGGGTAAGCTATAGATCTTTCAAACACTTTTGCAAGTGCAGCAATATACTGGAATAATTCAAAATACTTATGTTATATATTTGAGTGTAAATTTGAGTATCAAGAAAACTGATCTTCTGACTCATAGACATCTTTGCTATTTAAACAATCTGCATATAATTTTGTAAAAATTTTGCTGACCCACTCTTTGAATTGAGGATTCTTTTGATAGCCACTTTCATGTCCAGCATGGTCTGACTTTGACGGGTGAGTTGATTCCAGACCTGGACGCATCCATCTGACCTGTTGCCTTTTTTCCAAACGAAACAGGGAACAGCTCTTATCAACAGGAGACACTGCCCAACCAACCAAGTGCCCTTACTGACAACCATCTTAGAGAGCTGGGTGGCTTCTGCTTTGTCCAGAGGAGTGAAGAGGATTGGGGGTGGGATGACAGAGGGTGCTGCAGGGAGGTAGAGGCAGCGGCTGCTGCCCTTCGTTTCTCCCACCTTCCAGTGGCAGGACCTATTTCTCTTGGTCTGCAACAGAAACTCCCCTTGGCATCAGCCCAACTCCTCTTGGCAGATGCAGGAGGGTGAATTCTTTTTCATATTATTGTTTCAGGAGTCTAGCTACCTATTTTCTAGTAAGGAATCTATTGGACAAGAGCTGGGGAATTCCTTTGCACCAAATATTAGAATTAAGGAGGAGCCTTTGGATGACGAATATGATAAAGCTATGGCCCCACAGCAGGGACTATTAGACAAAATTAAAGATGAACCTGGTAATTCTGAGGTAAGTTTCCCATTGCATTTCTCATTTTGGTCTGACAACTGACCGCATAAGCTGGACACAAGTTCAGCATTTTATTTGGTTTGTTGACCGAAATTTAACTTGAAGAACGTAGTTTAGTAGAAGAATTTCTCCCTCTAATTCTACCATGAAACCCAAACCCCCAACTTTTTGATATCATGTTTCCATGTCGCTGAGTTTTTATGCTTTTCAGCTAGAGACAAAGCAAACTGCTGTAAAACTAGCATTACTAAATCTGTGGCAATATAGGCACTTCATCTCTACTAGATCTCACTAGAAAATACGTCATGTCTCATTGAGTACTTTGTGAATTGTCACAGTTAGAGCTGCATAGTTGAAGTAGTGCTGTTCCTGCTACTTCCCTCTTTTAAGGTTGGCAGTTTGAGCACAGTGCTTCTTTGGTTTATTTTTATAAACATTTATACTTAGAAGTCTTACCTAACAAAAAAAATATTAGAGTACGCACAGTCCAGTGGCTTTGTCATTTGAGGCTGACATCTTGTATGATGGTATAGGTAAGAGTTCAGTAATTGCAAAATGGAGAAAGTCAGGAACTATTGAATTGCACGATGCCAGGACAAGGATTGCTGAGCTCTCACCTCTCTGTTTGCCACTGGCTTGCAATGTTACACCAAGGAGATGATCCATGTTGCAATTCTTGTCTCTTCAGTGCTGACATACCCAACTTTACACACATTAAAGGTGCTCAAAACTTTCCAAGGCGACTCATCCCACTTGTGCTAGCAGTAGTTTTGGTGTTCTAGCTCAGGCACTCATTTTTCTAGTCTCATTCTGTATACTTCTGCTATACCTCATCTTATTTCTGGGTCCTTCTTTCCAGCATTTTTCTTCTCTTCCCATGATACTGTTGGGTAAATGAAATAAAGAAGTTCACTGAGTATTTGAAACTGTTTAGATTTCACTGCCCTTCTGATTTGTTCTGTTCTTGGAGATTAATATCTAACCATGCGTAGATTAGTTAAATCTGTTTCTTCTTTTGTCATCCCCCAAATGGCACCTGCTGTATGGATTTGTGTGGAACGTAGTGCAAGATGCTAGTGGTTATAAAGGATTATATTAATGAGGAAATTTGAAGACCTGAACAATTTGAAGTATTTTATTGATCAAAATATTAATTCCTGGGGTAAAATTCTGTAATGATCATCTTTGATACTGGAAAAGTGTGAGAACTGATGATGGTTCATTTTCGTTTGCTTTAAATCAAAAAACAATGTGTTTTAAATCTCTTTCCTGTGCATTCTGAAAGAGAAGAGCATTCCTTGCTGTAATTGGTAGTTGGAGCTGGAAGTTCTCTGCTTCCAACAGTTGCACTGCTGTGAAACTGTGCTTCACCTTGCAGAGCTGATGCTGGCATTTGCTTCAATCTGTATTACTAGTATTAATTTAAAATGCTTAAAAATACACATTCCTGTAAATAACCAGCTTTTAAATTGTGATATTAAAATAAAAGCAAGCACGGTACACTAAAACCCATCATCATGGTGTGCTCATACACAGCTTAAAACCTCCCTTCCTTACAGTGTGAATGCTTGTCTGCTCAGTCAGGTGAGGAGATAAGGCTGCTGGCTGTTCTCCTGGGAAACCTGTTGAGAAATTGGTTGTCTTTGTGCAGAAAGTTGTGATTTTGCCACAGGAGCATTATGTTGTGTGCATGGCAGGGTGTGATTTTCTGGAGGTGGATTAAGCTGGGGGAGCAGTTTGCTGCTGCTGAAAAGTGAGAGCTTATTTTTGCCCAGTGATTTCGAATTGGCTTACCTTGCAGTCAGACAGCATCTGTTAATTTAGCTCAGTCATAGTATGACATCATGGCCTCGCTATTCTCAAATGACTGTAAGTAGGTTAAATCTTATCATCCCCGTGGCTCCAAGAGATTATTCTTTTCAGCCTATTAAGACTCACATGTAGAGTGTTACAAGCTGCTTTACGGTTTGAATTTCTAGGAAAAGCATGGGCAAGAGGCATGGTGTCAAAGTCTGAATAGCTGCTGTGAGGTAAGCTAGTAATTTGTAGGATGTCAGCTATTCCACAAGCAACTGTCTGCGGGGATTTTCTCATCCTGTACGAAATGCAAGGTTATTCCCCTCCACTGAAGTCAGTCTAAGTGTGGATTGCACTGGTCTGCCTGCTGCCAGCTTCACAGCACTGCTTTGTGGAGCTAAGCTGACTGAGAAAATTAAAAAGATTACAATAAAAAGAGGGGTGTTTGTTTGTTTGTTTTTTGATTCGTCATCCCTCAATCAGGTCCGGTTCAGGATGGGGCAGAACATGGTTGTCCCAGCTTAAAATTTCTTAACATGCTGTAAAGCTTCACCTTGGGCTCCTCCCAGGTCCTTCGCCCCAGAGTTAAGCACTTCTCATCAGCTAGGGCTCAGTTTCTGTTCTGTTATTGTCATCTATGAATTGGAAAATAGAGCTTGTTTCCAAGGGGGAAGGACTGCAGAGCATTTCTGGTTGGAAAGTTTGTGTAAATGGAATGCAAATATTTACCTTAACACGTTGATGCTGAATTCTGAGGTGCGTTGGGATACAGGTGGGAAAGGGAAGGCAGCAGGCACCGCGCTTCTGAGTTCTGCGTGATGCTCAGTTGTACACCTTGCTGTGAACCTCTGGGTCAGTTCTTTGTGTGCGACTCGTATGGCAGCAGCTGTGAGCCTGGCCTTTGGGACAGGTTGAAAAGGTTCTTTCTTGCCTTCCTGGGCCTTAAGGTTCATTACAGCAATCTAGAAGAATGGAAATCATGCAACCTGTTATTACATGTGTGTATTTGTTCTCCTTTTCCTTTTCTTTTGTTTTAGGAGTACGGCCAACAGCCAAAAACTCAGGAAGGGGAGCTGAAAATCAGTGCTGTATTTTCAGTCAGTGGCAGTCCTCTTGGTAAGGAGCAGGCAAGACTTAACTTGATTTAAATCTATAAAATGCATCACGTCAGCAAATAGCCTTGCAGTTTATTCTGTGAAAATAAGTTTTATTTGCTATGTCTAACCCCTATTAAAAAACAAAACAACAACAAAAAACTTGTTTTGTTTTAGAGATGATGAAAATCACAGACTGAAAAATAATTGCATCTTTGAGGCAAGGGAGAACTAAATGTGAAAGCAATGTTAAAAGTGCATTCTTATTCTTAAGAGCAGTTGAAACAGTCTACTCTGCAGAAAACCAGTACAGGGCATGTATTATAGAGTTCCTCTGCTGTTTAGTTCTCCCTTAAAGCCTGACTATCCCAATGAAGCCATAAGCTTTATGCTTGCCCCCTGTGCATAAGTAAATTATGTGTAATATGTATCTTAACAGCTACTCTGTTTTCTCTCTCTCTTTTTTTTTTATTTTAGCTCCACAGCTGTCATCAGGTTTCCAGCCTGCTGTGGCATCCTCTGGCATGAGTAAAATGCTTCCTTCAGTTCCAGGCACAGCTGTTCGGGTTTCCTGTTCTGGCTGTAAAAAAATCCTCCAGAAGGGGCAGACTGCATACCAGAGGAAAGGCTCAACCCAGCTCTTCTGCTCCACACTGTGCCTCACTGGATACACTGTTCCAGCTTGTCGCCCACCAGCTTCTACCAAGAAAACCTGCTCAAGCTGCTCGAAGTAGGACAGCGTTTTAAATTGTTTGAGAATAATTGTTGCTCAAGCAGATGATGTGAAGGTTTCAGTTTTCATCTTGTACAACATGCTGTTCTGTAATGCCCACTTTACGCTTCCCCTCCGTAAATGATGGTGTTATGTGTTAATTGATCTGTCTGCTTTCAGTTCCATTTAGTTAATTGTATTTTGCATACAGGCTCATTTAAAAGCCTCTGTTGTGAAGTGTACCTTTTGTATTGTTTCCGTGTCAAATAGCCACATACTACCTGTGTTTGAAAAGGGACTCCACTTTCCTCCTGTTCTGTCATTGCACTCCAAACAGCTAACAGACATTTGCAAAAAATATTTTATGTATTGTTTCTTCCAGGTGAGAATAGATTTACTGATGCCTACTAATGAAGTAAAACATGGATAAATTAATATGTTCTAGGCAAGGCAGATTCTTAGATGCTACAAGAAAAAAAAAGCTTTCCAGTCTGGCTCTATTCTGTGAGCTTAGACTTACATAGGCTTGAGTTCTTCAAAATATGTTACTGCTGCTATTACATAATCATGGTCAAACCTTCATAAGATGTACAGTGATTAAGCATATCAAGAATTGAGTGTTTCAAATAGCTGGGGCTTCAGTATTCAGTCAGTTGCTTTCTGCCTAGGCCTAGAGCCTGCTTCAAAAAAAAAAGACTTTAGGGTAAAAGATCTGCATTTTCCATAGTCCTGCTGGAAACACCAGGGTGAATCTTCAGCTCTAAGAAACATTTCAATTCTTCATATTATGTTTCAGTTTGTATTATTATCTTCAAATTAGCAAAAGGACGCATCTGTGGCCAGCTCTTAGAGCTGTCACTGCTATTCAGGAGCTTGAGGCAAGCAAATAACTGCACAGACTGATTGTTCTGGGGTCTCTTTACAGAGGACAGTGATTCATATGAATTATTTGTAGTTATGAAAGTTACTTTGCAAAGTGAATGCTGCTTTGTTCATGCATCATTTCTTAACAATAGATTTATTGCTTCCTGTTTTACAAGGTCAACTGAACTTCAGCTTGAGACTTCAGTTAATTGTTCCTCTTCCTTGCTCTCTTGGTGTGAAAAGACCTTGTAACAAAGTGTAGCAGTCTTGGCTGTAATTTGTATTTATTAAGTTGGAAAGTGGTTTGTATCTGAAAAGACAAGAAAGAAGGAGGCATCCCTCCATCCAAGAAAGGAATATAAAGATTTCTTCCTAATTTATGCAGTCATTGAAAATGTTCTATGAGCGACAGTTTCAAAAAAGAGACTTGAATAGTTTATTAAATCCAATGGCAGAGAGAACAGTAGATTGGAGATTAAAAGAGGAAAATAATTGTCAGACCATTTGGGGCACAACTAAATGGGAATTAGAAATCCTCACCTTTTGTTTTTTCCCCTTTTTTTCCTTATCCCATTATTATTGATATTTTCATTGAATTCCCTTTAACATCCACATATCCTGCTTTTTACATTTTTTAATAAGTATTGTGCAAAACCTTTTTCCAGTTCTGTTTGAAAGGATTAATTATACAACCTGGTGTCTTAAGAGTGGCCTACAAAGACAAGGTACAAAACGTTTCACAGTGTATTTACTTGAGAACTGCACCCAACTGCTTCACTAATAGGAAAAGAAAAATGAAGTTAGGTACTTAGATCAGCAGAAAGAAAATCTCTGAATTAAATAAATCCACCATCTTACAGGAAATGTTTAGTTTGCAGAAGTGGAAAGGAGAGTGAGTTGCCATGAAACCAGTGTTTATCTCTTTGCTTGTTTTTCTTTTTTTTTTCCTGTAGAGAAATTCTAAATCCAAAGGATGTAATCACTGCCCAGTTTGACAATACGAATTCCAGCAAGGATTTCTGCAGCCAGTCGTGTCTTTCTACATATGAAATGAAAAGGAAACCTATCATTACTATTCACACTAACAGCATTTCAACCAAGTGTGGCATGTGCCAGAAGAATGCAGTGGTAATGGCAATCTTCTTTTCCACTTAAGTTTCTTTTAAATCAGGGGATTTGCATTTTCTTTCTGTTCATGTTAAAATCCTTTCTTCTCTTCCAGATCAGACATGAAGTGAATTACCAGAACGTCGTACACAAGCTCTGCAGTGATGCCTGCTTCTCCAAGTTCCGCTCTGCTAATAACTTGACCATGAACTGCTGTGAGAATTGTGGAGGTTACTGCTACAGTGGGTCTGGGCAGTGTCGCATGCTGCAGATAGAGGGACAGTCAAAAAAGTTCTGCAGTTCGACGTGTGTGACACTATACAAGCAGGTATATTTTGACACGGCGTTAGAAGAACATCTTTGGTAGATTTTGGTTTATTAGCTGATGGTTTCTGTTGCTTTCGTGGTCTAAGATGCTTCCTTTGCCATTTGCTGCTTAGTTTTTGCTAGAAATATTGCTCTGTTTTCCCTTACCACTGGAAAGGCAAGCTGAGTATTCCAGTGTGAGAGAAGACACAGTGGGACCACTTGGCAGCATTCTGCTGGGCCATCCTCTGAGGAGAGAACCATCATCTGACAAAGCACACAAGCCTCATGAGCAAAGCCTTTTGTCAGCCTTTGGGATTGCTCTGAGCATTCTCTGTGCTGTGACAACAGTGGTGCAGTTTCACATGAGCTGCCTGAGAATTCTTAAAAATCAAGAGCAATTTAACTGTAGGGTATCTCACACTACAACACATCCTTCCTGACACTGAAAAAGAGATTATTTCTGAAATTATGTCTTTCTAAACACGTTGTCTCAGGCATGCTCTACACTTTATGGTCGTGGGTACCTTAAGTAACAGAAGAACATGAGAGAGCACTTCGTTTTTGACCCATTTCAGCTGTGAAAATTGTAGCATTTGAACTAAGTGGGTAGGAAAAGTGGTAATTGGTTGGTCATTTTAATTGTTGTTTTTAACTTTTTTTAATATTTTGATTTTAATGGTGCTGGGTTATTAAAAATACTAAGCTTCAGGTGCATGACCAATTTTACTGTTTCCACAGAAGTCAGCTAAAATTACACCCTGTGCACTGTGTAAATCCTTGAGATCTTCAGCTGAGATGATAGAGAGCACGAATAACTCGGGAAAAACTGAACTGTTTTGCTCTGTTAACTGCTTGTCAGCATATAGAGTAAAAATGGTTACTTCGTCAGGTAACTTTATTCCTTTATTCTGGTAAAGACATAATTTCACATAGCTTATATTCAAATTTAATTAGTCTTGAAAGTTAAGGCTGATATTCTTGTCTGGGAAGTGGGGTGTAGAAAGTGGTGTTTGTTTTAAGGGAAGGTGCTGAGATGGAAACATAAGGATTTTGTAACATAAATAAACCTAACAGTGACAGTGTAGCCATTTCAGCTTTGTTTATAGAGATCTTAAAGATGATATCAAACCTTAATGTATTTTCTGCTGGTATAAATGAAGGCCAGGGAGTGGGGGTGGGGAAGGCTCTAGTATCCTAGGGATACTGGGAGAATAATGAAAGGATCTGGCAGACAACAGGCACTGCAGCTGTAGTGTCTGCTCCTGTCTTGTGCTTTAGTGTGTACTTTGTCTTGTCATTTGGAATCTCTGGTTTTGTATGCACAGTACAAAACTCTGCAGTGGGACTCCATGTTGCATAAATCACTTTTTCTTCTCTGTTTCACTCTCAGGTATTCAAGTTCAGTGCAACAGCTGTAAAACTTCAGCCAACCCTCAGTATCACTTGGCTATGTCAGATGGGAGCGTACGCAATTTCTGCAGCTACAACTGTGTGGTAGCTTTTCAGGTGTGATATCTGGCATTTCTTCTTAGCTCAATTAATAGAATAATAAATCAAATATCTGGGGCGCCGGGTAAAATACACAACTGTAAAATAAGGCTCTTTTTTGCTCTTCTGCAGAATTTGTTCAACAAACCTGCAGGAGTGAACTCCTCAGTCGTACCCCTGTCTCAAGGTCAAGTCATTGTAAGCATTCCCTCGGGGACAACGGTGTCAGCAGGTGGCACCACCTCCACTGCATCTCCCAGCTCTGGGAGCAGTTCAGCTGCAGCTGGTCTACAGAGGCTGGCTGCCCAGTCCCAGCAAGTCACTTTTGCCCGCAAGGTTGTAAAACTCTGGTGTCAGCACTGTAACAGATTATTTGCAACCAAACCAGAACTACTTGACTTCAAGGTAATAAAGACCAGGACTTCTCTGGCTTGTCTCTCTTGATCAGAAAGCTCAGAAATTATAACCTATGTGCCCATGGTCTGTTGGTACTGCTTTGTTGTTTGCTGTGATTTGCTGTGGAGGAATTTGGAACCGGTCTTGTTATCATTCAATCATTATTGAAATTAATACTGAAAAAGAGAAAATACTGAAAAACAAAAACTCCACACCCAAACCATTACTTGTCAAAATAAGCACATTCCTGATTCTTTGTCCCAGAGATGATGATCTTAATTCCTGGACAAAGCACGTGGGTGAGGGTTTGTTGCAGAAAATTCTGCTGCCTTTGCTGAAAATCTATTTGCTGGTGCTGTCTGTTGATGATTTCTCAAGTGCATAAATATGCTGAGTTTTTACTATCTATTTAAATGTAGTAACTGGATATGAAATATTGAAACCAAAACATTCTGACTGTGTTGCAGGGTAAAATGTTGCAGTTTTGTGGGAAGACCTGCTGTGATGAATATAAGAAGAGGAGGAGTGTAACAGCACTGTGTGAATATTGCAGAACTGAAAAAATTATCAAGGAGACAGTGCGAATCACAGGCATAGATAAACCATTCTGTAGTGAAGGTAAGAAAGAGCAAGGCTGTCTCTCAGAGAAATCAAGTTAGAAGAGTTTTGCCTTAAAATTATTTGTGATACTAAGGGAAACCTAATAAACTAGGTCAGAAAATTAGATTCCAGGTTTAGAAACCTGGAACTTCATTCACACTTTAATTTTAATGCCATATTTCAACGAATGATTCCAGAACCAGAAATGTCAAACACACAACATTTTGATATTGAAGGATGCTTTTGTTATTTTGCTGTTTTTTCTTCTCTTAGGTTGCAAACTGCTCTATAAACATGATTTGGCTAAACGCTGGGGAAACCACTGTAAAATGTGCAGTTACTGTTTGCAGACTTCCCCCAAACTGGTCCAGAATCTCTTCGGGGGGAGAATGGAGGAATTCTGCTCAGAAGAGTGCATGTCTAAATTCACAGTTTTGTTTTACCAGGTAAATAATAATTTCATATTCTCTGTAATACAAAAGTGTTAGCAGAACTTTTGAAAGTTAGGAGCTATGTTAACTGCCTATAGTTGACCTGTGTGTTCCTCGAAGCTATTACATGTACATATGAGAGATGAGTAAATTCTTCTTAACTTCAGAGTGGCAGTTTCATAAATAAAGAAAACCTAATACCTCTCTGAGGGGAAGAGAAAACCTGAGTGTTGTGCTGCTTTGTGTCACACTGTAAAATGGTACACTTAAAGATTTATTTACACTGCATTTGCTGAGCATGTTGTGAAGAGGTTTGTATGTATACACTCTTTGTTGCTTTTAACACATGTTTAATTTCTCCCTCGCTGTTTTCCCAGATGGCAAAGTGTGATGGTTGTAAGAGACAAGGTAAACTCAGCGAGTCCCTGAAATGGCAAGGAGATGTGAAACATTTTTGCAATCTGCTTTGTATTCTGATGTTCTGTAAGCAGCAATGTACTTCTGATCCTCCAGCCTCAAATAACACAGGTAAAATGGAATGTGACCAGCATTACCTCTTAATGTGTGTGATAATGATAGGAATGTTTATTTGGAGGCTCAGTTCAGTGAAATTTTTAAGACCCCCTATTGGGGTGCTTGTCCATTGTAACTGAATGGGTTCAGTTTAAGATATGTCTTTTAAGTAAGGCAGTTTCAAACTTCCATAGGTATGAAATGCTGTTGTTCATAAAGCAAACTTATATTTTAAATATTAAACATAAGCACTTACTTTTCATCTACTTTCCTATAAAAGGAAGACAATTTTAATAGGCTGAAATGTACTGATATCTATTGAAGGCATGATAAATACTCAGCTTTCTGTACTTGGTAAGACAGAGATAAAGGAGAATGTTAATGTTCATTTAGCAAGAAAAGTCAAGTGGATAAATGTTTAGAGTTAGTGGTTGTAAATACATGTTTTGATGTATGCACTTAAAGTTGCTGGTTCTGTGTTGTCAGTTTGAAGACTTACATTTTCTGTGTCATTAAGTGTTGATTCTTCAAGTATCAATTCTGAGATTAATGTATGCTGTAGCTGTTTTGTTGCTCATTATTTTAGCAGGTGGAATGGGGAGGAGGGTGGGAGTGAAGCCCACAGGAATAGGAACTGTGAGTTTCTGTAGGGAATGAAATGCAAAGGGAAGAAAGGAAGAAAGGCGCACAAAGACAGGAAGAGGAAGCGAAACAAAGGGCAGAAATAGCACTGATCCTAAAGAGGGGCATGTTCTCCCAGAGAGTGATGGTGACTGCAACAGTAAGGTACCCATTAAGCAATAAAGAATATTAACTGACAGCTTATAGTATGCACCAGGCCATACTATATTGAATTCTGTGCACATCTCCTGCTTCGCTTGGTGGGGATTATTTTCTTTGACTAAGAGTAATGTATAAGTAACTTTGTACCTTCAGGCTATAATTACACTGTGTGACATTCCTGATTTTTATCAGTATGTTTGGCTGTTAGTAAGGAAGTGGCTCAGAACAGTATTTATAATGAAATGCAGTTGTGATGCTTTCAGATAGGAAGAACCTAAAAGTTCCTCTGCAAGAGTCTCGTAAAATTCACCTCATTCATTATTTGTTAGGATCTTGAGGATGGTACTGAGCACAGTGGGACATCTGCTTCTGTTGTCTCCTGAGTGCTGCTCTAAGACACGTACTCCTAGAGACAGAAAACTGCTTTCATACTGTGATAAGCTTCTGAAAAGTTTCAGTGAATTGAAAACAGCTGAAGTTTGCTTATGGATCCAACTTCTACTTAAGCTGAAAGCCTCCAGTTTGACACACTCTCCTCATAAAGCAGGCTTTTTCATCTGGAGATAAATCCGGAGGGTGGATATTGTGTCAGAAATGCCACCGTGTCTATCATCATATTGCTTATTTCTGTTTTCTTCTGTTCATTCCATCCAGCAAACCCTTCCACAGCACCAGCTTCCTCATCAGGCCCACCTTCTTTGAGGAAGGACTCAACCCCAGTCATAGCAAATGTGGTGTCCCTTGCGAGCACCCCTGCTGCCCAGCCTACGGTTAACTCCAACAATGTCTTACAGGGTAGGACTGTTAAAGTTGATTTCTCTATTTTTAAATCTCTATTCCTGGACATTTGTATTTGTTCAGAGGTCTTTCCCACTGAGGACAACAGCTTCTTCATTACGCTTCATGTCATTGCTGAGGGTTGCTGTCTTGTCCTTCCTTTACCTACGTGTAAATACTGATGTAGATCTGTTCACTTGTAGTGGGGAATGAGGTTTAAAGGGAATTCTTTTTCCCAACCTGGCAGAGTATGGCTTGTGGTCCTTGATAAGTGCACAGACTAATCTTGTATGTTGCTTTTTTCTCCACAGGTGCAGTCCCTACCGTGACAGCAAAAATAATAGGAGATGTAAGTTTTACAAGAGACTAATTTTTCTCACTTTCGTCCAGATTGTATCAATAACAAGTAAAGTATCCAATATCTAGCACCTTAATTTTGTAACTCTTTTTCCTGGTTGTGATTGACATTTAAAATTCATCCAGCTTGCAGTTACACACCTTATCCATTTTAAAAAATGTATGATATCAGAGTTTTCATGTGTACAGTAACAGGTTGATTTGATGGCTTAGCAAGGCTTATCAAAGTGTGGCTCTTGAGATGGCAGTAGCTCTCAAGCACTTTCTGCATGGCTTCTATACTGAAGGCTAACTTTTGTGGCCAAAGGTGGGACGTGATATCAAAAGGGCTGCTATGGGAAGAAGGAAACCAGCATGGGCTGGTTCCTGATGTTATCCACCTCTTGCAGCTTAGCTGTTCTTCCCCACTCCTTTGTAGTGTGGTAGTGAAGCTATGGGGAACAACTGTCACTTCTTATATGTGACTAACTCCTAGAGTTCCTGTTCTTGGGCTCTTTGAGGTATGTGGTATACTTCTTGGAACTCTTCTAAAAATAGGAAGACTTTATTATGTAGCTTGTTTCTGGGAAATTGGCATCCTTCCTTTTATCTAAAGGGTAATTTATGGATTAGAGTATGATTTTTTTTTGTAATGAAACAGATCGTGTTATATGAACGCATGACTGAAAATTACTGTTGGCAGAACACAAAATCAGTACGAGCATAACAAGTCAGTCTGTGTATAATTAGGAATTGATACTGCCAGCATTTGTGTTCATTTTTTTTTTCCTATTCCCATTCAGTGATTTCGCATTGATTTACTGAGGGTTTTTTGAATGTGTGTATCAGCCAGTATTTTTGTCATCAGAAGTATCTTAAGATCTGATCTTAAATTCTACTGCTGATTAAAAAAAAGAAGTTTATAGAGGTTATTTGACTACAGAAACCAAATATCCTCTAAGATCTGTGGATCTATGGATAACCCAAAAAAGAACACCAAATAGCAAGCTATTTTATGGTAGCTTTTAAACTTAATTAAGAGTTTAAAATTATTCAGTGTTCCCTAGTAGAGGACAAGTATTAATCTTACAGTATCATAGTGCAACCAATACTGATTGTGCCCTTGTTTATGTTTTTCCAAACAGGCTAGTACTCAGACAGATGCCCTAAAACTGCCATCTTCACAGCCACCTAGGCTTCTAAAAAACAAAGCATTGTTGTGCAAGCCAATCACACAGACTAAGGCCACCTCATGCAAACCTCATACACAAAACAAAGAATGCCAGACAGGTATGTATTCAATCTCCAACCCATTTTATAGAAGTCTGTGGTACAGTTGAGAGTTTGTGATTTATGCAACAGACTGTTATTTTTTAGTAGTCTCTTCCTATGGTCTTCTAGTTAGCTGTGAGATGACTGCAATAGCATTTACTTGGCTGCGGGTCTTAGCATTTATTTCCTCTCACTTCCCTTCAACCATTCATGTATTTGGTCACTGTGCTGCTTATTTCCAAACTGTTCTACCACTACTTGTTCAAAGGGTGCTGAAGTGCAAGATGTCTGAGCAGAGATGTACTGTGTCCATTGAATGACAAGCAGAAGTCATTAGTAGTGGAACACCAAACAATGATGATGGACACTCTGAAGTGTATGATGATCTAATGGTCAAACAAATCTTGTTTTGTTTTTAATGTAACAGAAGAAGAAGAAGTTCAACCCAAAATCATTGTGGTACCTGTTCCTGTACCAGTGTTTGTGCCAGTACCCCTTCACCTCTACACACAGTACACACCAGTTCCACTTGGGATGCCAGTACCTGTAAGTTATGCTCAAGTTCACTGAAAAACTGTGAACAGTTCTGGTTTTGATCAAGAGTTATGTGACTGGGTTTTCTGTTTAGTCACATGAGTGGTATTTGGAGTCTATGAAGCCATTTCCTTATCATGTTTATGCCCTAGTTAGCTTCATTATGTAAAAACACCAATTTGTAGGGTAATTGCAGAAATGAAAAGGGCTCTTTTTGTCCTGGAGTTATTTAAAATTATGTGTAATCCTAAAAGAGTGTAAGTAAGATTAAATAAATAGAATCTCCCTTGTGTGTGTTTGCTGCTTCCCTTCATCCCCAAACAATCTCTAATATTTTTTGCATGTCTGTGTAGGTACCCGTTCCCATGCCTTTCCCAACTACTTTGGATAATGCTGATAAGATCCTTGAAACAATTCAGGATATCAAAGAAAAGATTCCCATAAGTCCATTTGAAGCGGATCTCCTTCAGATGGCAGAAATGATTGCAGAAGATGAGGAGAAAGACAAAACACACTCTCATGGTGGTATGTGGTGCTTTTAAAAGGAAACTAAATGCAGTGAGATAGAGATGTCCTCTCTTCATGGTAAATAGGGAGAGAAATGGTTATATAGCCTCTGTTGTCTGCAGAGCTTTGTGTCTTTGCATTCCTTTTCTCTGATCCTAGGTGCTGATTTAACTTATGTTGCCAGTAACAGGTTCTAGTGGTAGTGATCTCCAGACCAGTACATCATGTGCTAGCAGGAAACAAAATCAAGAAGGCAGAGCAGCTGCTTTACAAGAATATTTTCCTGTCAAGCTTGTTGTAGTGGATTCTTGAAGGGTGATGCAGGTTAGAATGTGTTGGAAAGCAGTCATACTATGTAATAGAAGTGGAGCAAACTAAAAAGAAATGAACAAAATACTGCCTTTGCCTACAGATGACTCCCAGTGACAAATGTGGAGGGATGAAAATAGTTAGAACGTGGGTTGATTCTGTTTCTCCCATAACAGCATGAGCTAGGAGAGAGCTGTTAGTAAAACTGTAGTGGAGGGTAAGGTGTGTGTGTGGAAGCACTGTGACCTAATATATGTATTTTTTTGGCATTCACAATTGTCTATTAATTGTGTAAGCTGTAAATCATTTGTAGATGAAAGTTTTCTTCTTTTTCTGAAGGCTCTCAAACATCTGAGCATGAGCTCTTCCTGGACCCCAAGATGTTTGAGAAAGGTCAGTTTGACTTTTTTTTTGCAAATGGACTTTGATCTGGATATATCTTCAAACTCTTCTTTTTGTCTGTCCTTTCCTATTGCACGTGGTTTATCTGATCACTCTCATTACAGACCAAGGGAGCACTTACAGTGGAGATCTAGAATCAGAAGCAGTGTCCACTCCACACAGCTGGGAAGAAGAGTTAAATCACTATGCCTTACGATCAAACGCCCTGCCAGAACCAGATCCAGAACCCAAGCAGATCTCCAAAGGTGAAGTGGAACAGGACTTGGAGGCAGATTTTCCATCAGGTCTGTATAACACTAAGAAAAATACACACAATGTTGAGTCAGTGTTGTAGCCACAGTCTGCTTAAGAGGGGTGTATGTTTTCATTTAGTTAAACTGGATATTTAAAGCAGCAGCAATATATCAGCTCTACTTCTTAAAATATTATTGGTATCTTTACAGGCAGCATTTTTCAGAACCACTGGCAAGAGTAGCACATATTCTTGCCTGACTCTCTTCAATGTATCATTTTTGTGTTCCTAGGTATAATCCATGTTAGTGGTGCAAAAGAATATCAGTTTATCTGGATGAATGCATCCACTGTTTGGGGGTGGGTTTTTTCTGAGTGCATTTATTGCCCAGTTGTTCAGTCATGAAGTATTATTTGAGTTTACAGATGTAATTGGAATTGCTAGGATACGTAGTATTTTTAAGTGACGCTTCTTCTCAGGCTTGTTAAATCATATAATTTAAATTCTTAATGGTGTTGATTTGACTTCAGACTCATTTGACCCTCTCAGTAAGGGACTGGGTTTGCATTCACGTTCACGAGCAAGACGGAGGCACAGAGATGGCTTCCCCCAGCCAAAAAGACGGGTAAGAAAGTCCTCTGGAGTGTTAATTCCTTGTATTTAAAGTACTAATGTTAGATGATTCCTTGGCAGTAAAAAAAAAACTATTGATCCAGGGTGGAAATGAGAATTCAGTTTAGCTACACTGCTTTTTTTCCTGTTCTTCTTCATGACAAATATTTTCTCTTCCCTGCATGTTAAAAAAAAATGCATGTCATGGGAGTAGCATTTTGTTATCATGTCAGTTTATTGCTCTCTTTATATGAGGTGAAGTGAAGCAGCCATAGATGAAGTGCTTATTAAGCTTGTATTTGTTTTACTTTGTTTTCCTATAGGGACGAAAGAAGTCTGTAGTTGCTGTAGAGCCCCGCAGTCTGATGCAGGGCTCCTACCCAGGATGCTCTGTTTCTGGGATGACCCTAAAATATATGTATGGGGTAAATGCCTGGAAGAACTGGGTCCAATGGAAAAATGCACAGGAGGAACAAGGGGACCTGAAGTTTTCAGGTAAGCAGAAATAATTGGTTGAATAACTCTCGGTATAGTATGTTTGTCAAGACAGAATTAAGTTTTAAAATAGCCAGAAGTAGACTAAAGTTCTCAGAGCATCTTGCATTTAAAAATCTCAGCCACTGCATTCTGAATTGATCCATTGTCTTTCAAAGCAGGCTCTGAAATACCAGATTTCAGCATGAAATATTGGTCTTTTAACCTCACATATGTGTTCATTTGCATGCACTAATTCTTCACTTCTAGAACAGATGCTTTATGCAGCTGCAAAGTCCTTACTAAGCTGCTACTAGACCACAGTTACAAGCTGACTACACAGACTTGGCCCTGTCTTTTCATCTGTAGCTCATATGTTCACAAAGTGTTTGTCAGCATCAGTGTTAGCTGTAAAAAGCTGGACCACAGTGTTCTTTCTGAGCATCACTGCTGGAAACAAACCTTCCAGAAGTGTACCCATTCTGTGCTGCTCTCTGCCTGAAACTACCTTTAAAAGGCACGAATTGTTCCTTGGGTCTCACTGGGGTGATAGATAATAATGACAATATAAATGTCACTTCCGTTTGTTTTTCTAATTATGGATGTTTTGGGGGTTTTAGTTTTGTACAAAAGCACAGCACTCCTAGGGTTTGGCACTGTCAGACTCCCCTTTTCCCTGGTCTCAAGTCTGTCTTCCATGATCACACTGAGTGTTTTGTGGGCAAGTTTTCAGAGTGCAGCAGACAATTTGATTTAGTTTTGTAACTGAGCTTTTTGAGGACAGTGGGGAAGAGAACAGGCAGTATTAAATGCTTCTGCAGCGCATAGATCTAGGTGTGGCAGGGCTTATATAAGAAAGATCCCAAAAGGAGAAATTCTGTTCAGAATGAGCTCTGCTTTCTCATCTGTTATTACATGAGAGTAGCTGTTTTTTGTTTCCCAACAGAAAAGTAATCACATGAATGACGGGCTTTTCTCGTAGCTAAGAAAACAAAGGTTACCAGCAGCTCCAGGAAACAATATCAATCCCCACAGAAAGGTTCCCTGTTCAGTCCCAGGCTCAGCAGTGTGGAGTGGCCAAGCTGTAATTTCACTGCAGATTCTTTGATCGATTCTCTGTGCTGCTTCGTTTTCTGAATCTCACAGCCCTATAAATTCTTCATTCCTTTTCCCTTTAAGGAGTCAAATACTCTGTGCTCAGCTCGTGCCCAGAACTACTAGGAAATATTCAGGATCCTTTTCTCACTGAAGGTTCCCCTGAGTCCAGCTATGAAGGATTTGCCAGCCCAAGTACACATTACCATTGCTGCACCACATCTTGGATTCAGCAAACCCCCGAATATTTAAATGTAAAGATTTAATCTCTTGAATAAAAATATTTCTTCAATTGTGTTCTTCACCACAGTTCGTCCTGTGAAACTCAAGGAGGACATTCTCTCGTGCACTTTTGCTGAGCTGAGTTTTGGCCTGTGCCAGTTCATTCAAGAGGTGCGGAGACCGAATGGAGAAAAATATGATCCTGACAGCATCTTATACTTGTGCCTTGGAATTCAGCAGGTAAGTCACAATTAGGGTGCTGCAGAGAGCATACAAACTTCTAGTGGCCTTTTAGGCTTAATACCCATAGTCTCAAGTAGCTGCTCATTTTTTTTCTAGAGGTGAGAATGTATCTTTTTGTGCTTCTTTCTTAGTGTGGCTTAATCTCTTATTCTACTAATTTGTTTTTTGATCAGAGTAAACAAACCTCTTCTGTACTTGGGAGGAATGTGACGTGGAGGGCTTGACATAAATCTTTAGGTTTGGGACTGTATTTACCCCTTTAATGTATAGGAAAGAATTGTAGAAGCCTGAGGTTCCTCAGAAGAATTTGATTTGTGACTGAATGCTGTAGATCTAAAATAGCTGCACAGTACTCTTCTGAGATGTGAGTTTACGTGGAAGAGATTACCTGGCAAAGACTGTGCTCATTCAGTAACTCTATTTCAGCAGCCTAATCTGTTGGGCTGCTTTTTCAAGACTATTTTAATACCTAGAGGATGGTGATTTTTTTGAGAAGAGAGCTCTAGAGCTCGGAATAATAACAATAATTCTGGCCTAGATCTCTCATTTCATACCAAGGAAATCCCAGTCCATGCAGAAAATCTGATGTGATATCTTACTGAAGATTTCAGCAATGCATTTTGGACTATAAGACACTCAGACATAGGAAGGGTGAAGAATCTGATGTCCTGTATCTCTGCAATGTTATGTATTCATAAATTATATGTCTTCCTTTTTTTCTCTCGTAGTACCTGTTTGAGAATGGTAGAATAGATAACATTTTTACCGAGCCCTATTCCAGGTTTATGATTGAACTTACAAAACTTTTGAAAATCTGGGAACCTACAATTCTTCCAAATGGTAGGACAATTATTTTATTTTGTGTAGCTGCATGACAAAGCCTTATTATGAGTATTTTTCTCAATGCCATGAAGAAGGATGTGATCTGAGACATTCACATTAGTCTCCTCTTTCTCCACCATGCAGTTGTTTGTGGTAGAATAGAATCATGGATTGTGTGTCTATCTCTACCAGTTATGGGTTTCATTTAAAGATACCTTTCCCTCATTGATCAATCTCTCAGCTCCTTTAAAGGCTTCCCATTCCTGTAGTCAATGTGTTAGTTCTCTTTCCTCAAGTTAGAGCTAATCTTTTTGAATACAGGCAGCCAGAATTGTGTGCAGTGTTTGAGATGAGTTGCTTGGAGTTGAGCTGCAGAAGTATTTCCATATCAGTACTGGAAATACTTCTGATAAATCAGAGGATGATAAAGGGAGATCATTGGAGTCGTCTCAACTCCTTGACTCCAAGTTCTTCTCACCTCAATCACTTCCACATTAAGAGTTCCCCAATTATTAATTGTTTTTAAAGGATATTCATGAAGTTTATGAAGGTGGTCACAAGCAATATGAGTATGTAAGATTTTTTTTTCAGATTACTACCAACACATGAGTGATACCAACAACTCCATAGATGGATCTGAAACTGGCTTTTTATTTGCAACTTTCTGTTGGTGCAGAAATAACCCAATTACTTATAGGTAGCTGTGTACAGTGAAGTTTTCTTGCGGAACAAATCTCTCATCAGCCTCAATTTCTCCTTCCTAACCTAGGATGATGAAACTGGGTGATTTGTATATAGAGATGGGGTATTTTAAACTCATGCTCCATGTCCCAGGAGCTGGATGTTTTTGCAGTCAGCTGACTCTGCTTTCATGCAATTAAAACTTAGTGAGATTCTGCTGATTTCTGTAATCTTTCTTTTATATACCCTTGTCCATTCATCAGGTGTTGGAAGATGGTGCTGTTCCACAGCTCGGTTCTCCACACTCCCTCTGTTCTTGCATGCAGTGCTCTTGGTTTTATATTGCAGTTACCTATGATAGATCTGACTTTGTTCTAATGCACAGTTGGTTCATGTACAAAGTTAGCTGGAAGAAGACTTAATTCATCTCTGACAGAGTCTGCCAGTGTAATTTTACTCATTTCTATGTCCTACTCTGCTCATGTATGAGGGTTTCATTGCTTTGGGAAGATGGGGAAAATCTCTTAGATTGCCAGCAGCCTGTCAGAGCCATTACATTCCTTTGTAACTGAGCATGAGGAACTGTCCTAAAATTGCATAGGTGACACTTTTTCTTTCTCTGCACATTGTTCCTAGGTTACATGTTCTCAAGAATAGAAGAGGAACACTTGTGGGAATGTAAACAACTGGGTGCATATTCCCCCATAGTTTTACTGAACACACTGCTATTCTTCAACACCAAATACTTTCAACTAAAGAATGTCAGTGAGCACCTGAAGCTGTCCTTTGCCCACGTCATGAGACGGACCCGGACTCTGAAGTATAATACTAAGACAACATATTTACGTTTTTTCCCACCCTTTCAAAAACAAGAGGTAGAATCAGGTAAGTGGATGCTTTATGATCACTTGAATCTCTGCAATCATGTTTTTATTATCTCCTTATTTGAAAAGGGCAGGGGAGAAAAGCATAGAGGAAGCAGAGCCGTGGGTAGTTTGGTTTCTGCTGTTATCTTGCACTTCTTCAAATTCCTTCACTCTGGGATGATTTAAAGAGAAATAGTTTGAAGCAGGCAATCACCTCAAGCAGTGTATTTGAGGTGTTACAGAGTCCAGTCAGACTGGTGCTAGGCTGCAGGACTCTGTGTAACCTTTCATGTGCTGCTCTTCACTGAACTCGTGTGATACCATTTTTGTGTGTCCAGATAAACTGTCTGTAGGCAAAAGGAAACGTGGAGAAGATGAGGAGATTTCAACAGCAGTGGAAATGGCTGAAAATGCAGATAATCCCCTGCGATGTCCAGTGCGACTTTATGAATTTTACCTGTCAAAGTGGTAAGTGATAGAACTTAATCTTTAATCTGCACGTAGATTAGAACAGGATTTCAGGCAGGGACTCTCCTCAGACATCTTGTTCTTTGTGAAAAAGGGTAGGAAAGGTGTGATTTAGGCAAAAGTGGTGATGGATTTTGCTTACTGAGATGTGAGATTAATTTTTATTTAGGAGTTGGAGACTAGCAAGGACACAGATACAAATCATTTTGTCTTTCCTCTTTGGTATCAACTTAAGGTAGATCTGTGAGCAGTTGGGGCGTGGTGTCCCTCAAAGAAAATACACCAGCAGAATGAAACAGGATCTCATCAGTGTCAGCTGCAACTCAAATAAATCACCCTCAAAAATGCACCTAGTGAGCTTCCTGCACATAGTCCCATGGCTTTGGCTGTGCCTAGCAGCTGCCCTGACTCTGTTGTATCTTCCTTGTATTTGCTTGCATATCATTAGAAGATGTTAACTGTCCTTGGGCTGAGAAAACATTTTCATGTTCCCCAAGGAATATCAGCTCCTGCAGAGCCCCTGCAGCGATACAAGCTGCAGTAAGAGTTCACTTTGTTGTTTTAATGTGAATACTCCAAGTCCAAGCAGGAGGGGTTCTTGCTCTGGAGGACTTTGTCCCTTCCTTCCATCACAGAGTTCTTCCTCAGTCTGATGGTCAGTTTGCCAAGCAGATGAGCTCACTGTTCTGCAGCAGGAGAAGCAGGCTGGGATTTAGTTCTGCTGATCCTTAAACATTCATTGTCCCAGAGTGCAAAGCAGTTGTGGAATAGTGGGATGGAATGTTTTGTTTAGAGATTGAATGCCAGGCACATCTGTCAGTCATATAAAGACTCCAGTATTGGAGTCCAGTGTGGGTGATACTGCAGTTGAAGAACTGTAGAAAAGAAGTCACAGGTTGTTTTGTTTCTTTGTAAGCAGCTAGAGCCAAGTGACCTGGAAACACTGAAACATTCACAAAGCTGAAGAGGAAAAACCAATCCACTAATAAAAAGATTTTAATTATACTGCTTACATTACAGTGTTGTAACCTCAGTGTAACTTCCATTTTCTTTGTTTCTCCATCGCTTTTTTTTATGAGTAAGGCTTTTAAAGCTGCCCTCTGTGATGCGTTTTCTTTTTACATTGACAGTTCTGAAAGTGTGAAGCAGAGAAGTGATGTGTTTTACCTTCAGCCTGAGCGCTCCTGTGTACCCAACAGCCCCATGTGGTATTCCACATTGCCAATAGACCCAGGAACTTTGGACATCATGTTAACTCGCATTCTTATGGTGAGGGAGGTACACGAAGAACTTGCCAAAGTCAAATCAGAAGACTCTGATATTGAGTTATCAGACTAAGTGAAGTGGGATGTTTTCCTTTGAATACATCAGAAGCACCAAACTGTGAATACGTCCAGCTTTTGGAAAATGTGTATTAAATAAGCCAAGATCATGTCACCTACAGGCATATTTGGAACCACAGCGGATGTACAAACTGGAACTGGAAGGAGACAAGCTCCATAAGCTGCAAGAAACAACATCCTGTGGCAGGCAGTGATAAATCCTCTGAACAAATTCAAGTTGAACTAACCTGTTTGAGTGGTGCATAAATCCTTTATCTGTGTAGGGTTTAAAAAAAAAGATTTTTTTAAGGCAAATGGTCGTGGAACATCTACCATAACGATACCAGGCTGTGGCTCACGTGACCTCTCAGCCTGCTGGCTGGCAGTCCTTGCTGCCAGAAAAGAACACGTGGAGATCTTGGAGGTCTTCACGGGAACAGGAGAGGATTTGGTGGTGTTGAGACAACCAGACGACTTCCGTTACAAAAACCAACATGCTTTTATAATATTTTTTAAAACCGGGATCAAACGCTGGGGAGGCAGAGGCTGCAGGCACAGCTGCAGGGAGCTGCTGAAGCAATGGCTGCGTGGCTGCTGTTGGTCGGTGCCAGCCTTGCTCTCAGCCCAGGGCAGCAGCTCCCAGCCGTGCTGTGCAGAGTGCTGTAGGTCAAACCTGAGAGCATCGCTTCTGGGTTCTGTATGGGAGGGGACAGTCCTGGGCTATGTGCAGAAAATCCCTTTACCTGCCCCGTAGCTCTGTTGATTCTAATCTAGCAAATACTGAGGTGCGTGGACATAATTTTTTTTTTCCCTTGAGGCAGCTTTCCTTTCTCCTCTTTCCCCACTCCTATGGTTTTGGTTATTTCAGAGGGCCGTGTTATTTCAGACAAAGGGACGTGCACTCTTTCTCTTTCCACCCTTGCAGTGTGTGCAGTGTTGTCCAAAGGATGCAGTATTACTTCTGACGACAGAACTATGGTAGAGAACACCCATGTGTGTTTTTCCCACCCCACCCAAGGAGGTGCAGGCGTGATGTTGGGAAGTCAGAAAGCCTTTCTCAAGGCCTGGCTGTCACTGCATGTTTTTGAAGAGAAGAGCTCCCAGGTTGTGCTGAGAGGACAGGACTTCACAGACACTGTCTGTACCTCCATATGTAGCTGTGTGTTTCTGATGACTTAGTGACCACGAATCCATTGGAAACCCAAACTGTTTTTAAAGAAGAGAATTGTATGGTTTTTATCTAGTTCTGGTCAGCTGTCCATCTTCTGTAACAGGGGTCTGATATTTGATCTTGTCACTACAATTTCAAGAGGTGAAAATCGACAGCCTTTCATTATGTTTTATTTTGTTTTGTTTTTCATTTGTTGGGTTGTTTGGTTTTGTTTTTTTTTTTTTTTAATTATTTTTTTAGCAGTAACAAAAGTAATTTAACAACAAAAATAAAATCAGAAAGTAGTCCATTGACGTCGTGTACTCGGTAGTCCTGTCCCTGCCTGTAACAGATTTCACTGATGTATTTTTTAATACAGAAAACTATGTGAAAAGTAAAGCTGCCCCTGGTTGTGTCTGCTCCAAGCCCACCCGTGTGTGTGTGTGTTCTGCTGCTGTGTCCCTGCTCTGCTCTGCCACTCCTGGGGAGGATCCTTTGGCTGTCGTACATCTGCCCCATTGCAGGAAGCTGCCCTGGCAGCACTTGGAGGCTCAGTGGTGGTTTATTTCATGTTCTGTGAACATCGACCATTGACCTGTTGATACTACATGAGTTTAATAGCAGGCATGGCGTTTTGTACTGGGATGCCTGATTGAGTGTTGCAGGGAAAAAGGATTTCAGTGACCCAATGGCTGGGTCTGTAGGGGGTGGAAAGAAGCCTGAGCTGCACTGGTTACGTGGAGCTGTGTCTGAATCTCAGTGTTAGGAGGAGGGAAGGAGCCAGGAGCTGCTGCATAACACATTCAGTTTGCCTTCTCTGAAGCCCATCGCTTTTTTGTGAGCACTTCTGCATGAGTCCATCTTATTGTTCCAGGTACTTAAAATGGAAGGGATTTGCCCTCAGCAGGGAGAGGTGAATCCCTAGAAGCATGGCTGGCTGAAGGCAGTTGTTCCCCATGGTAATAATTCCTTTTATTTCATGGCTCTGAGGCAGGTGGGGCTGGACGCAGTGCTGTTGGGTGGTGCAAGGATCAGAACAAATGCTTTCAGTTTCCATTCCAGACTGAGATCTGGGTTGAGACTCACAGCCACCCATGTGATCCCTTGGTGGTGATGGAGGACTGAAGCATGGAGATAACAGTGCTGGAGTTCTGAACACCCAGATAAGGTTGTTTGGGATAAGAGACAGCTGAACCATCTGCTAGCTGTGGATTGATTGGTGGAATCTTTGAAGGAGGAAAATCTTGTGTTGGTCTCGGAGCAGAGAGAAACAACCATGAGAGTGCAAGAAAGGCAGTGCTTCGTGCTGATGGGATTTCCTCCTCCATCTGCGTGCCTTCCACTGCTGGCACGCCGTGTCTGGCTGTGACTCAGCACACAGAGGTGACGCCGTGGCTGTTGGCTGGGGAGGATGGAGTGGACAGCCATCACTTGTGAGGGTGTTGCTGCAGGGAATTGCAGTGCAGGGGTTGTGCAGAGCGTTCTGTGCTCGCAGTGTTGGTTCACAGAGGTGCTCAGAGTGGCGTCCATTGGTGATGGAGGAACCTGGAGGCGTTCAGTGTCACGGTGAGGTGCAAAAAGCAGCTCAGTTATGATGGGAATTGCTCTGCCAGCTTGACAGTGACTGATCTGAAGGGAGGCTCTGGGTTTCTCTGGCTGTAGCCTCCAGCCAAGCAATGTCCCCTTGGGGAGACAGAGTGACAGGGCCCTGAAACCCCTGCCCATTTCCTGCAGAAAGCAGAGCTGTAGGGCCAGGTTCAGGCGGTGCAGCTGAGCGTGCTGCAAAACCTTTGGGTTTGGTTACTGACTGGGGGCCTTTCAGCCCTGTGAGCTGTACAGAAGTTGGGAGGAAGTGGTGAATGTGAGCACAGGGCACAGCTGGGACAAACAGATCGAGAATTAAAGTGTTCCTGCACCCAGGATGCAGCTCCTCTGTCCTACATCTGCAGGATGTAGGCTCTCTGAGCTGAGCTGCTGGTTTCTCAGCAGAGATTTGGGTTGCATTAAAGGACAACCAGGACCAGTGACCTGGAGGTTATGATGATTCACTTAGAGGCAAGGAGGGCATCTATCACAAAGCATCAAACACCAAATCTCCACCTGCCCCCCATGTGCACAGATGTGCTGCAGTCCCACTGCTCCCACTCAGCTGTGGGAGCCCCTCACCCCTTCACTCCCTATTTATCTATAAGGCAACAAACCACAGCACTCAGAAAGGCCTCTGAGAGCCAAAGGGGCTCCTCCCTCTGGGCCAGGGCCTGCTAGGACTGCTCTGCCCCCTCCCCACTGCAGCCCAGGGCCTGATGTGCACTCACTGCTGTTATCTGGGTGACGCCTCCCGTGTGCTCCTTTGCCCCTCTGTACCTCGGTTGCACCCCTCTGTAAATTGGCCAGACTTTCCTACCTCGTTTGGGCATTATGAGGCTAAATTCCATAGGATGCTTTGCAGCCCCGTGATGAAAGGTGCTATATAGCTGCAAAGTGTTAACTTCACAAGATTCAAATAGGTCGCCAGTGCATCATAACCTATATGGAAAAGACTTCTTTTTCTTATATGAGAATTTATAGAGTTCAATGTATGGTATTAATAAGTGAATTCCTGAGCTCCCCCCAAAATAGTTTTTGTTGGAATCGTATCTGTATTCTGCAAAAGTGATTAAAAACCTTTAACCTTAACCCGAGAGTGCAGCCTTGTTTCCTGCATGCTGTTTCAGTCCTCCAGCAGAGCTCCCGAATCCCAGCGGCTCTCAGCCCTCCCTCCCACTCCCACCCGTGGATAACGAGGCTCTCCCCGAGCTCTGTGCCCACCTTTTCCACTTCCCCCCAGGACACACACAGCCACCAGTGCGGTTTCTCTGCGGTCTCTTTATTGTTCTCGCGCACTCACGGCTGGGCGATGCGCTCCCGTCGCCGATCACGCAGCAACGGCCGTGCCGCCTCCCGGCGTTTCTGAGCTTTTCCATCCATCCCTTAAGGGATCTTCGAACCGATGAGCGCACCGAGCGGCCCAAACACGGAGGCCAAGCCGAGTTTGACACCAAGAGAGAGCCCGGCGGCTCCTGCAGGTACAGAGAGCGGCCGATGTGAGCGCGGAGCGGAGGCAACCGAGGAGCTCCGACCCGTTCGGTGCCCGGGCAGCACGGAGCGCACGTCTAAAAGCGCAGGATCCCTAAACCAAACACGTCCCTTCCTCCGCCCAGCCTTTCTGCCATCCCCCATCCTGCCGGGTGAACGAACCCGAGGGCGAAAACGAGCCGAGTTCATCACCCCAACCCCGTCCCGCAGCCCCGCGCTCACCGACCGACTGCAGCACGGCCACGATGCTGCCCGCAGCCACCCCGCCGCCGTTGGCGATGGCCGCAGCCGACATCATCTTGGCGCCTATGGATCCCGCGGCGATGCCGGCAGCCGTGAAGCCCAGCGACCAAACGGCTAACGGGACTCCCACGAGTACCGCTCCTGCACCGGGACGCCGCCGCGTTAATCCAGCCCTGCCGGCTCTGCGCCCGGTGGAGCTGCGGGAGCCCGCAGGGTGGGGATGCCCCACTCCCACGGAGGAGGGGCAGCGGCCCCGACCCCGAGCCTCTGCTGCTCCCCCCATCGCACCGCCAGCCCTCACCTGTTGCAACGCCGCTCCCGATGACGACTTTGATGATCGGTTTCACGGCTGAGGGGGAAGAAAGGAGAGAAAGCGTTGCTCGGTTCTCACAGCCCTGCAGCCTCAATTCCCCCCCCGTTCCCCCGCAGTACCTGCCGTCTGTAACATCCTCGCAGCACCTCCGAGCACCACGGACTCACGAAACAACACCGGAGCAAGGAGTGCCCGCCCAGCACTGAGCGCGGCGATCCCCGTTCTGTGATATGAGGGGAGGGGAAGCGATGATGTAAGGAAAGCGAATTTCCAGGAAATCCGTCTGTTTGCTTTCGTTTTTGCGAAGCAAAACGAATCGAGCCCGGAGTTTAACCCTCGCCATGCCGGTTCACACGCTGTGCCGGGGGGGGGCAGGTCTGGGTGCCGCCTCGCAGTGCAGCACACGGCCGGGGATGGACGGAGCAGGGCAGGATCCGGGGGGTCAGACCCTCCCCTCTGTGGTCGCTGCTTTGTTGAGGCCTGACAGCGGTGAAGCTCTGCACTTCTGGATGAGGAATGGTGGCCATTCCCAGCTCCTCCCCCTCCTCTACTCAGCAGCTTCAGAAAAACTCCCCAACCCACTTCTTCCCAGCCCTCCCCGTGCCCCATTGCCCGCTCCTTACTCCTCTGGATCCCCTCCGTGCCCCCGGGCCTCGTGTCACCTCCTGCCACCTCGTGTCACTGTGTGCCCCACTGCAGCTGGTTGAAGGGGACCAAATCCAGTTGTAGTTGATCTGGTTCCTTTTTACCAGCCCCAGGGACGCACCGCTCCGTCGCTCCTCGGAGGCCATCAGAGCTGCTGGAAGTGATGGGGTCCCAGCCCAAGGATACATACTTCTTAACATTCCATAACGCCGGCCGACTCCATATGGGCATATGAAGAAGTATGTAGGGTTGGGAGGAAGAGGCAGCAGCCACAGGGCTGCTCCTGGAGGCAACCCCAGCCCACAGGGGCTTCCAGCACAACCTCCAACCTGCCAGCTGTGCTCCATCCCTTCCCCATCTCCACTTATCATCACCAATCCCAATGGCACCCAGCTGCAGCCAAGCACTCATTAACCCACCCCAGGCCCTACCAGGGCCCCTTCCTTCCCAAAGCTGTGCTGGCTCACAGTGCACCCCCCTCCCCAGCACCCCTCCCTGCACTGCAGGCAGAGACGGGGATGGGGGCACAGCATCAACCTGCACCCCCTCCTTCACAGGGCAGGGAGCATGCAAGAGCCCTCATCCCCCACAGCATCTCTTGGCAAAGTGGGCTGGGGGCACCTCTCCCAGTGTGGGGAATTGGGGTTGTATCTGAGGCTGGAAACCACAGCGAGGTGTGGAGGGGGCTCAGCAGACCCAGCACAGTGCGACCACAGCCAGGGCACGGTGCTGGGGGGGACGAATGTGACACCAGCTGGGCTGTGTTGTGACCCCAATGACCTTCCTATCCCTAATCTCAGAGCTGGAGTGCTGCACGGGAACACAGGGACAGGCCTTGTGGGGCCAGGGGAGCACAGGAAGGTGTAGGGCTGTAGGGGCACCCAGTGCAGCCGTGACTCAGCGCCCCGTGTGCTGCAGCTCTGCAGGAGCCAGAGACAACCAAGGCAGCAGAGCCTGGGGGTGCCCTGATCCCCCCCAGTGCCATGGGGCTGCCCAGAGCCACAGGCAGCATGGGGACATGACTCCCAGGGGCCGGGTCACCAAGCTGGTGGCAGCTGGAGATGCAGTTCAGTGCCCCCAAAATCATTCTGAGGGCATCCTGTGGCCGTGCTGCAGGGATGTCCCTGCTTCACCCCTTTGGCTTTTCCAGCCCTGAGCTGTGCTGCAGGAGTGTTATGGGAGCTGTGAGCCCACGGCTCTGCCCACAGCTGAACCCCCCACCATCAGGGTGTGGGGTCAGGGCTGTCTCATCCCAGACAAATCAGCTCTGGCCGCCCCCAGGCACATCTCCCAGCTCTGCAGTGCTGGTGTCCACCAGCCCTGTGGTCAAACATGGCTCCGTCCCACAGCTCAGCCCCGCAGTCCCCACTTGAGCTCTCACGGTGACCTTGGAGGGCAGCACCCAGCACTGTGCTCACCCCAAAGCCCCCACATCCATACCTGCACAGTTCCAGGCATGAGGGAAAATGAGCTGACAGGGGAAGGCAGCAGCACGGGGGGGTGCTGGGGCTGCTCGTGGTGTCCCACATGCTCACACAGCACCAAACAGCCCCGGCCTGGCTATAAAAGGAAGCATCTTTTTTGCGTGCTGTGCCCCAACCACGCGCCCAGCATTGGTGGCCTCACCAAATGTCACTGCTCAGTCAATGCATCACCCCACAACGACCGGGTTGTGGGCAAGCTGCCACCTGGGGGGTCCTCACTCTTATCTTTGGCCATGGAGCATTTTGGGGCCCGCAGTGCCATGCTGCTTCGCCATGCGCAGGGCTGAGAGTTGGGCATCCCATCCCATCCCATCCCATCCCATCCCATCCTGCAGCATCAGGCATCCCCGCACCACACACCCGTTGTACCCCAGCCACCCCAGGGCCACCCCCACTCCTCCTCCTGCCCTACACACGGGAACCCCCCCCTCAGCCCGGAGCTGTGCCCACCCAGCTTCCATCAGCAGAGCCGCGGTGCTGCGAGCAGCGGCCGCATCCCCACCCGCGCGGTTCTGCCTTCCAGAGGCGCTCGCTGAAGGTTAAACGCCGGCAGTGGGGAGAGCCCCGCAACACCCCGCACCCACTCCCCCTCCCTCCACCCCCCCCGCAGCACTCACTGCCCTGGAGGTGCCCGGCTCGGAGCTCCGGTGGCAGCGGCTCTGCGCGTCCCCGCCAGCTGCACGCCGCTCCCCGTGACTTTGCCATAGGACTCCTCCGGTTCGTCCGCAGGAGCTTTGCAGCATCCTCCGGTTCAGCTGGAGAAGTTCCCTCGCCGGGGAGGGAGGAGGGAGGGAGGGATTTAATGCAGCCCCCGCCTGGGCTGCGGGTGCCGCTGGGCTCAGGCGAAGCCCCTTCGGGTACAGCCCCCTCCCCGCCCCGCGCTGGGCCGCCGGGATGCGGCGGTGCCCGACGACGAGCATCTCCCTCTCGGGGCCGCGGCCACCTCCTCCTCCCCCCCGCGTCCCCCGGCTGTCCCGCAGCGCCCGCAGCCTCGCCCGGGCCCAGCAGAGGCGCAGAGTTCCCACGGGGCGCGACGGCCATCGCCGCTCAGACCCCGCGGGGATGCGGACACGTTGGGCGCGGGGATCCCGAGCGGAATGGGGACCCCCGGCCGAGCCACCCTGCTGACCCCGGCACTGCGGGGGTTTTAGGATCACAGCGCAGAGCGATGCCGCTCTGCCCACCCCGCGGCCCCCCCTCCCCCCCGGCCCTACCTCTGTGCGGGGTCAGCCCACGGGGACCCCGCCGTGCTGCCCATCCCGGCACCAACGTGCAATGCACGCCCCGCGGTGTGGCTGCCCCGGGTGGCTGCGCTGCTATTTTTGGCAGCCTCCGAAGAGCTCCTCTCGGGCTATTAATAATGAGAGTGCGAAATTCGTTTGGCCTCTCCTATATAAGGAAAGGTAGAGGCTCAGAGGCAGCTAAATATACTGGCGCGTGCGGGAGCGAGTGGGGAGGCTTTGGCACCGGGTGTGGAAAAGGGATCGTTGGAACAATGGAAAGACAGACTGAGCTGCGCAGACGGACGGACGGAGGGATCCCCGGGGTGCCCACAAGCAGCACCCGATGTCCCAGGGCTGCATCTCTGTGGCAGAAGCACAGCACAAAGGGCAGAGCAGGAGCAGCCGGGATGCGCGCAGCACCGCAGTGCCACCAACACAGCCGTGTCCTCCCACACCTCAGCTCCACCGCTGCCCCACTGCTGCCCATAGACCCGAAAGGCCCCGAGAGCTCCCAGAAGGGACAGCAGAGATCTGGGGAATCCCAGTGACAGGAAGGCAGGGAGGAGCGGTGCCAAACCCACATGGTCAGAGCGAGGACGGCGCGGGCAGAGGGGTGAGAACAGTGTGCAGCCCCGTGCTCTCACCCTGAGCTCCATGAAGAGCCCTTTTCTTGTCTCCTTCTAATTCCACCTGGGTGAGGCGGTGGGAGATGAGAAAGCAGTGAGATGAGCAGCAGCAAAAAATCCCTCTTTATTCACCAGAAACACTTGGTTAAAAAAAACAATTACTTTTAGCCTCGATGCAATTAACACTGCAATCAGGCATCGTGAAGCAGAGCTGGGCAGGCTGGGCAGCCCGCTGGTATGCAGAGGAGTGAAGGTTTAAGAGCAAACTGTTTTAAAACTGGATGGCAACGTTTGCCTCAATCATTTTAACGAGGGTTCAAAGTACGTTGATGTGAAAGGAAATAAAACCAGAGGCTCCAAGCGTTTGTCCAACAGCCGCCTCCGCCTTTAACTTCCACACATGGGTGTCTCTAATTGTGAAATCATAATGCATAGCAATGCAGAAACCTTCCCCGTGCAAGGTCAGAGAGGGACCACAGTGCTCGGGTAGCAAATGAGCAACGCTGGTGGTGACGTGGGGGGGGAGGAGGGGGTGGAGGGGTTTGGGAGGAACGCATTTACTCTCACGCACGGCCCTGGGGAGCTGCGTTAAGGGCGCATTGTGTCACATCGCTGCAGCACGGGAGGGTCTTCCTCGTCCTCCTGCCCACTGCTGGGACACACTCTGCGCGCTCTGCCCCGTGCGGTGATGCTGAGGCACTGAGGGTTAACAGCAGCGCGCTCCGGTGCCGCACGGTGAGGGAAAGCCAACGGGAAGCTCTGCGCTGTCACAGAGCCACGCTCAGCGCTGACAGATGGCCACGGAGGGAAGTCCTGAGCAGGGAAACGCCGCAGCAGCTGACCGTGGCACCTCAGCCTCCGTGCGTTTCCTATAGAGAACGCTGAGGACAAAGAAAATAACCTCAGCCGTGCAGGTTTTGGTTCTTCCCTCTCCACCACTCTGCGCTCGCGGTGAGCGTTACTGATCTCTGCAGCAGGGAGAGCCGGCGCGCACACAGCACTGCAGAGGGGATTTCCCCACGAGGACAGCAAGGGATGCGCAAGGCAGAGTCCTCCAACACGGCACGAGCCCCAGGACCGCATCTCCTCCATCTCCTCCATCCCCACAGCCCCAAACCCTCATTCTCTCGTGGTCTGTTTGTCCTCCATCCGAAGGAGGGGGCGGCGGTACCCAAAACTCAGCGCCGGGCCGTGAGCAGCCCTGCAGCACAGCACTGAGCTGTGAGCCTTGCAGATGTGGGGGGCACCTCTGTGTCACAGCATCCCTGCGTGTGGTCTGAGTGGAAGACAACTGATGGCCCAGAAAATAAACTCAGCAGCAGCCATGACCACATTCAGCAAGGGAACGTTCCCCCG